GATATATATATATATATATATATATATATATATATATATATATATATATATATATATATATATATATATATATATATATATATATCACACACACACGTAATATTTAAAATAGACTAATTAATTACATAGTATAAGGAATCGTTATAGGTATCCAAATTAAAAGAAGATACATAAAGCATGTGTCTAATACTAATACTCATACGTAAGTAATGTTGACATAATTATAAATTAAACGTTTAAATTTAGTAATTTTGCCGCATAATAAAACTAATGATTATTTGTTTACTGTTAGTTGAATAAAATTATTATTATTTGAAACAAATTAAAAGAAGATACATAAAGCATGTGTCAAATCAAATGTAGGCACTACCACTTGTCAAAAATATAGTTTACATTTAAACTTTATATAGAATCATATCAATTACAATCCATACTAATTTCTTTTTGTCTCTAACTCTTCTCTTGTATGATAAAAAATAAAAATAAGTTTACGATTTATATACTTTAATATAAATTAAATAGAAAAAGGAAATTGCTAAAGGAAAAGAAAAAGAAGATTGACACATATAATAGAAAGTAAATAGCAAATTATGAAACATAAATCTGGAAATACGGCTATCAATATATAATGGGTATCTAAGAAAAATATGTGGGTATCATCTATGTATAACATTTATATTGACCATTTAATATAGCAGAGTATATATATATTTATATAACGTAATATTTAAAATAGACTAATTGACTATCCAAACAATCAGTGTTAGGTTGTTTGATACCAACCGCTCTAAACGCACTCATACAAATACTTGTATTGGCACGTATACTGATACTACTAATGATACACATACTGATACTGAAACTCACACTAATACTTATATTACTATTGATACTCAGATTGATACTCATATTGATACTACTTTTGATAGTCTTACTCACATTAATGATGATACTTATACTAATATTGATACTAATACTTATACTAATATTAATATTAAGGCTAATATTACCGATATTTTGTACCAATACTCATATTCATACAAACTCATACTAATATTGATATTAATACTTGTACTAATAATGATATTAATATTGATACTTATACTGATACTAATAATGATAATCATATTGACACTCATACTAATACACATATTGATAATGATACTGATACTAATATTCATATTGATATTGATACTAATATTTATATCAATATTGATATTAATCTTGATAGTAATATTGTTACTAATATTGACATTGATATTAATATTGATATTGATATTGATCTGATACAATACTAATATTAACACTAATATTGATACTAATGGTGATATTAATACTGATACTAATACCGACACTTATACTGATACTAATACTCATATTGATACTCATAAATATACTTTATTGATACTCATACTGATATTCATATTGACACTCATATTGATACTATATTGGTATTAATATTGATACTTATACTGATATTGATATTGACACTGACGTTGATACTAATACCTTACAAACATTGACACTAATATTGATACTAATATTGTTACTCATATTGATAGTCATACTGATATTGATACTGATAACCGTATTGATATTGATATTGAAAAGTACACTTATATTAACAATAATACTGATATTAATACTCATTTGATAATAGCTATACTCATGCCGATGCATTATATATTCACACCGAAACTCATAATGATATTGAGACTCATATTGACACTGATACCGATGCTCATACTGAGGCTCATATTGATTCTCATATTGGTACTGATATTAATATTCATACGGACAGTGATACTGATACTAATACTTTTATTGATATCTTATATATGAAAGAAAAAACACTGGGCAACCTTAAAAAACCCCAATGGTATTTTTGTAATTAATATTTTTTAATATTTTTTTTCTCTACTAATTTTCAACTATAATTTTTAACATTATAAAAAATGAAACTAAATCCTGAAGAATCCTATCTAATGTTACTTTTGTAATTATTTATTTTTAATATTTTTGTCTACCAATTTTTTAACTATAATTTTCAACAATTAACAATCTCCTATTTCTCATTAATATATCTCAAATATTAAGAGATAAAGATAGAAATTCGATCTTATATATAAAATAAAGAAATACCGGGCAACCCTTAAAAACCCTAATGATATTTCTGTAATTAAATATTTTTAATATTTGTTTTCTCTATTAATTTGTAACTATAATTTTTAACAATTATCAAAATTGAAACTAAATCATGAAGAATCCTATCTAATGGTACTTTTGTAATTATTTATTGTCTACTAATTTTTTAACTATAATTATCAACAATATCAATCTCCTATTTTTCATCAATATATCTCAAATCTTAAGAGATAAAGATAAAATTCGATTCGTTAACTCTTAATCTATTTGTCATATTGTGTGTGATGTACGCTTTACAATATAAAATTACATAAATGCTGGAATATTATTTAGCTTTCATGAAAATAAATCATTACAGATTCATTTACAAAATATAAATTTAATTTGGTTTTCAATCATTAATAGAATAATATTAAAGAAATTTGACAGAGTATCAACAGTAGATTATTAATTAGGTAATCATTAACAAACACAAATATGGAACAAATAAATTAAATATCATAATATATTTTTACTGAAAAAAAAAATATTTAAATAGTGATTGACAAAAAAATGTATCTTGAAATTGAGTCGAAATCTTTACATAATTGCATGTTTACAATAGTTCGCCAAAAAATAAATAGTTTGAAGAAGACATAAAAAGTTTAAATTGCAATGGTTGATATAAGCATAATAATTTGAAATTACCAAAACCCGACCTAGATGAAAAACCAACCCACTACAAAGCTCGATATAATACATAAACATTTAGAATCACAATTTGTCTACTATATCCTTCAATTGAATAATCTTCTTGGTTGGATACACCAGTGTCCTTGTAAACTAATTCATTGTAGAGTTTTAATGATTAGTTTGTCGTATATTACACACATCTTGCTTAGATTCTGAAAAGCAAAAATAGTAAATGAAGAAAAAAAAAAACAGTTAACAATGAGAAATGAACATCAACAATACTAAAAAAAGATACAACAATGAAAACAAAATATCAATAATAACATAAGAAAAAAGAAGAAGAAATCACAGTGAATAACAATAAAAAAATTTATAATATTATAATAGTTACAAACCACAATATGTTTTTTTACAAAAAATAAGAAAGACATAATGAAATGGAAAACAAATTAGAAGAATGATACGGGCCATTATGGAAAGGTCAAATGATATTAAGCCCACAATGGAAAGCCCATGGTAACTTAGCCCAGTAAGGCGGAGTTAGGTCGTTAGGTCGTACGACCTCAGAGACGAAATGAGGTACCTTAGCTCGCAGGCCCAGTATCAGCTCGGGGTAAAACGAGCCCATGATAATTAGAGGCCCAAAACGTGTGACTTGAGGGTAAGAGGAAACCCTAAAAAAGGAAACCTTGGAGGCCAAGGTTTCCTCATCTATAAATAGAAGGTTCTTCAAACACACGCAGGGGGGACATACATTAATCACTATTTTTACATTGCATACATATTTTTCCTATTCCGATCACTGACTTGATCGTCGGAGCTTTCCCGCCGGGAACCCCTCCCGGCGTTGCAGGTATTCTCACCGGAGTTCGGACCAAGTTGCTTTGGAGAAGACGCAAGCCCCACGGACGAAAACAAGTGGCGCCGTCTGTGGGAAACTCCTTATAAGTTTGGAGCACAATTTCCAAGAAAAACATCAGATCTGCCCCCGGAAATCCAGATCTGAGCTAAGAACGTAGAGAAAAAATGGAAGAAGAATGAACGATCACCCGAAACCTACAAAAGGAGCTGGATGCAGCAGTTCACGACACACCTGGCGTCGATCCGCCGTCTGACTTGAGGGAGAAGTCAGGGTGCAGCCTGCTCACGCCCGAGAAAGAAAGACGGATCCCCCTCTTTTCAGGAAGCCCTTCTTTCGAATTTCAGAGCGGTGGAGCTGCTCCGAAGAGACCGGCTACAGCACCGGCTCCATCCCCCGATGAGCGTACGTACACCCGAGATGAAGTAGAAGCCATGATCACTACGGCTATCCGGAACTACACGCAAAATTTACCTCAAGACAACCGGCCCAAGAGAGATCTCAGACGCTCCCAGAATGAAGGGCGAGCTGAGAATGAGTGCGATAGCTATTCGGAGAATCGAGGAGGCAACAGTCATGGCGTTAGAACGGAAGTCGACAGCTTAAGGCGCGATATAGATGAGCTGAAGGCCCTGCGAAGTGGGCCAACGCGAGATCTCGCGGGATCTGGCCTTTTCGCCAAGCATCTCCATGACGACCCCATACCGGCTAATTACCGACCAATCCTGTTCGAGTATAACGGCACGTCAGATCCAGCCGAGCACTTGAGTCGGTTCAACAACACAGCTTCGCTCCACCAGCTCACGGAGGGGGTGAAGTGTCGCGCATTCGTCACCACTTTAGCTGGGCCAGCCCAGGCCTGGTTCGGTTTGTTGTTGCCAGGGAGTATACATTCTTTTGGACAGTTTGCTAAGGCCTTCATGAATCAATTCGCTAGTTCAAAGAAGTGCAAAAAGACCTCGCTGTCATTGTTCAGCATTCGCCAGAAGGAGAAGGAAAGCCTCAGGAGTTACATCAAACGGTTTACCTCAGCCACCCTAGAAGTCCCGACTACCAATGACGAGGTGCTCATGGCGGCTCTCTCACAAGGGTTAAGAGATGACGAGTTTTTCCGAGCTCTAGCGCTGGAGCCATCACCTGATTTCGATAATCTGTTAGAAAGGGCATCTAGGTTCATTAACTTAGAAGAGGCCCGCCAGCAGAAAGTGGAAGAATCTCACCAAACCGCAAACGTGCGGGTCAGCGAAGTAAAGAGAGGCAAGGAGTCCATGTTACCTCGTAGGGATGCCAATATTCCCAGTCGGAGTATCGTCCCGGATGCTAAGGGATCTCGGTTCCAATCATACCACCCCCTTACAGCTCCTCTATCCCAGGTACTGTACTCAATCGAGAAGAGAGCTGATCTTCGGTGGCCTCGAACTGCTCGAGGAGCCCCCCGACGAGATCCCACACTGGGAACCTTTTGTCGTTTCCATAATGAGTATGGACATACGACCGACGATTGTGCACATTTAAAAGACGAAGTGGAACGTCTCATCAGAGACAATAAGATCGGAGAATTTGTGAAGATAGACCCACCTCGTGGGCAAAAGCGTGAGGCTCAGTTTGGGAATCCAGCGCGCGTACCGCCTCCACCACCGATGCCAAAAAGGGGATACATTCAAATGATTTCAGGGGGCCCTACGGGAGGAGATACTCACCGGGCTAGGAGACGCCACCTCGGTAGCCTTAAGAACCAACGCGAAGTCTGCCAGATCTCTACACCGAAGGGTCGTCAATACCCCACCATATCATTTGGTCCTGAAGATGAAGGAGATCTGGATGATTTCCATTGCGACCCTCTCCTCATCACAATTAACGTTGGTGGGTATGATGTCGCTCGCGCCTTCGTCGATCCAGGAAGTTCAGTCGATGTTATATCCTATGAGTGCTTCCTGCAAATGGAACTGGACCTCCCAGTCTTCCCCGTCACCACTCCGATATTCGGGTTCACAGGGGGATCCCTGACACCGATTGGCCAAGTTAAAATCCCTGTCACTATAGGGACGCCACCTCGAACCCGCACGCAAGCTGTTAATTTTGTCATCGTGGAAGGATCGCCGACTTCGTATAACATTGTAATAGGACGACCAATGCTGCATACCTTTCGGGCGGTCCCCTCAACTATTCATCAGAAGCTCAAGTTCCCAGTCGACGGAATGGTAGGGGAGGTCAGAGGAGATCAAGCCCAGTCGAGATCATGTTATGTTGAGATGGTTAAATTAGCGGAGAAAGGGCGACGTGATGCTCTCACCAAAGAAGATTTGGGGGACGAGAAACGCCCCCGAGTTGACCCCGAAGATAAGATTAATCATGTACAACCTATGGACGAATTGATGATGATTGATCTCGTCCCCGGTATGATGAAACAAACCCGGATAAGTAAGGATTTAGAACCACCTCTCCGAGACGAGCTGATAGCGTTACTGCGATCTAATGAAGACACCTTCGCATGGCAATCAAGTGACCTAACCGGTATCTCACCTCGTACTGTGGTGCACAGGCTCAATTTGCGACCTGAGTGTAGACCCGTCAAACAAAAACGACGGCACTTCGGTACCGAAAAGGACGAAATTATACACAAGGAGGTTCAGCGACTTCTGGACATCGGACATATCAGGGAAATCCAATTCCCCACATGGCTGTCCAACGCGGTTTTAGTGCAAAAAGCCAACGGCCAGTGGCGAATGTGCATCGACTTCAGGGACTTAAACAAGGCTTGCCCAAAGGACGATTATCCCTTACCTCGTATAGATCAACTTGTAGATGCCACTGCCGGGTGCGAACTACTTAGTATGATGGATGCTTCGCAAGGATACCACCAGATTCCGCTGGACGAAAAGGACCAGCCGGCAGTAAGTTTTGTCACGGCCACGGGTACTTACTGCTACGTGGTAATGCCTTTCGGTTTGAAAAATGCAGGGGCCACGTATCAGCGATTGATGGATAGAATGTTTCGGGCTCAACTCGGACGCAACATCGAAGTCTACGTTGATGACATGCTAGTTAAAAGCAAAAGGCGTTCTACGCACCTCGCAGATCTAGCTGAGACCTTTGCCACCCTTCGTCTATATGGAATGAAATTGAACCCCGCGAAGTGTGCATTCGCAGTACAAGCTGGAAAATTTCTGGGATATGTCGTTAATCGAGAAGGTATTAAGGTGAACCAGGTAAGGTTGAGGCCGTGCTCCAGATGACACCCCCTCGCTCCATCAAAGAAGTTCAATATCAAAGAAGTTCAATCCTTAGCAGGGAAGGTAGTAGCCCTAGCTCGGTTTATATCACGGATGGCTGATAAGAGTCTACCTTTCTTTAAAATATTGAGGAAAACAGCTCAATTCGAATGGACTAACGAGTGCCAGCTCGCATTCGATGCATTAAAACGATCCCTCACTTGTCTGCCGATTCTTAGCACTCCTGAAAAGGGCGAAACTCTGTTCGTATACCTATCGGTAGACGACGAATCAATCAGCTCGGTCTTGTTCAAAGAGGTGAATAACCAGCAAAAGCCGATCTACTATACTAGTAAAATCCTGACTACGTCGGAAAGCAAATATTCTGAAGTCGAAAAAATAGCGTATGCTCTGGTCCTCACTACGCGACGACTCCGGCCTTACTTCCTGTCGCATACCATGGTAATCCGTACAAGTCTACCACTTCGGCAAACCCTAGGTCAACCTACTGCGTCAGGACGAATTGTTAAATGGGCCATCGAATTAGGACAATACGAGATTCAGTATCAACCCCGCACCTCGGTTAAAGGGCAGGCCCTGGTAGACTTCATCCGGGAGACTACCAGAATACCTATCGAAAAAGAGTGGAAAATTTATGTGGACGGGTCATCTACAGCAACAGGGGCAGGGGCAGGAATAATAGTCATTGATCCTACGGGAACGGAGGTCGAGTTCGCTGTCAAACTACCCCGGGTTTCTAATAACGAAGCAGAATACGAAGCTTTCATCCGAGGAATGGAGATTGCTCACGAGCTCGGAGCGCGAGTGGTGCGAATATACTCCGATTCACAATTGGTGATACACCAACTAGAAGGAGATTACGAAGTAAAAAACGATAGAATGAAGGGATATGTGAATAAAGCTCGAGCAGTACAAGAAACCTTCGAAGCCTGCACGGTGCATCAACTTCCGAGGAGCGACAACCAACGAGCTGACTTCCTCGCTAAGATTGGGTCGTCAGTCGTTGACTGTGTTGAACGAAAAATCACCATCCTCATTGCCCCTACCCCGATGCAGGGAGTCATGATGATCGATGAAGAATCTGACTGGAGAACACCTTTGTTCAAATATTTCAGAGGAGAGCGTTTTGGCACGAAGAGGGAACAACATCGTTTGGCATATAAAGCGAGGCACTTTTATGTGCGGCACGAGATATTATACAAGAGGAACTTCACCACGGTAGATGCGAGATGCCTAGGAAAACAAGAGGTGAAACATGTCCTGGACGAAGTACACCGAGGAGGTTGCGGAGAGCATGGAGGAGCTCGGGCCCTCATACAGAAATACATCGGGCCGGATACTATTGGCCCGGTATGAAGAGGGACACTCATCAATATGTGCAACATTGCTTACAATGTCAGAAATTCGCCCCACTCATTCATAAACCAGGAGAAGAAATGACCATCATGAGCGCTCCATGCCCTTTCGCCCAATGGGGAATTGATCTGGTAGGACCTTTTCCTCAAACCACCGGTAGAAAGAAATTCCTTATCGTTGCGGTAGACTATTTCACCAAGTGGGTCGAGGCTGAGGCTCTGTCTAAAATAACAGAGGATGAGGTCATGCACTTCATTTGGAAATATATCTGCTGCCGGTTTGGCCTACCTCGCAGCCTCGTGTCGGATAATGGTACTCAGTTCAATGGCAAAAAGATCCGCGCATGGTGCGAAGAGATGAAGATAACACAGAAATTCGTGGCGGTAGCGCACCCCCAGGCTAATGGTCAAGTAGAATCCACAAACCGGACCATTGTCAACGGTTTGAAGAAGAGACTGGACGAGCTAGGGGGAAGCTGGGTAGACGAGCTGCCCTCAGTCCTTTGGTCTTACCGGACATCAGCCAAAGCAGCTACTGGCGAGACACCATTTCGGTTAACCTATGGAACCGATGCTGTTATCCCGGTCGAGGTGGCAATGGACACACTCCGCATCGCCACATTTGATGAAAAGACAAACGATGATGCCTTGAGGACACAGCTGGATGAGGTTTTTGACCTACGAGAAGCGGCGTATCTACACATGGAACGAAGTAAGAACCTGATCAAAGCTCGATACGATCAAGGGGTATGGCCTCGTTCATTCCAGATCGGTGATCTCGTCCTACGACGAGCTGACGCACTAAAGCACACAGGAAAGTTAGAGGCCAATTGGGAAGGACCATACATGGTCACAAAATGTTTGGCTGGTGGGGGATATGAGCTGGCAGACGTAGAAGGAAAACCATTGCCACGGGCATGGAATGTCATCCATTTGAAACGCTTCTTCGCGTAAAAAAAAAAAAAAAAAAAAAAAAAAAAAAAAAAAAAAAGAAAAAAAAAAGAGAGAGAAAGGAGATAGAGGCAATTAAGTCAGAGAAATCGAGACTCGAGACACACCTTGTACAAGCAAACAACCATTAATAAACATCCATTTTCCGATCTGGGCTAGGCCCCGTGGTTTTTTCTCTCCTCATTTGGAGGGTTTCCACGTTAAAAAAATCCTTGTGTTATTTATTTAAGTTTTACTGTGGCGTTAAATCGCGTGTTTCATTGTGGCGTTAACTCGCGTGTTTTACTGTGGCGTTAAATCGCGTGTTTCATTGTGGCGTTAACTCGCGTGTTTCACTGTGGCGTTAAATCGCGTGTTTCATTGTGGCGTTAACTCGCGTGTTCCATTGTGGCGTTAACTCGCGTGTTTTACTGTGGCGTTAAATCGCGTGTTTCACTGTGGCGTTAAATCGCGTGTTTCACTATGGCGTTAAATCGCGTGTTTCATTGTGGCGTTAACTCGCGTGTTCCATTGTGGCGTTAAATCGCGTGTTTTATTGTGGCGTTAAATCGCGTGTTTTACTGTGGCGTTAAATCGCGTGTTTTACTGTGGCGTTAAATCGCGTGTTTCATTGTGGCGTTAACTCGCGTGTTCCATTGTGGCGTTAAATCGCGTGTTTTATTGTGGCGTTAAATCGCGTGTTTTACTGTGGCGTTAAATCGCGTGTTTCACTGTGGCGTTAAATCGCGTGTTTCATTGTGGCGTTAACTCGCGTGTTTTATTGTGGCGTTAAATCGCGTGTTTTATTGTGGCGTTAAATCGCGTGTTTCATTGTGGCGTTAAATCGCGTGTTTCATTGTGGCGTTAACTCGCGTGTTTTACCGTGGCGTTAACTCGCGTGTTTTATTGTGGCGTTAAATCGCGTGTTTTACTGCGGCGTTAAATCGCGTGTTTCACTAAGTAGTTAAATCGCATGTTTTAGTGTGACGTTAATTCGTGTTTTCCGTTGCAGCGCTAAGTCGCGTATTCGTAAGCGAGATGATGGGATCAAGCATTAAGTTGAAATATAAAAACAGTTTTCCGAGATCAAGTTGACTGATAAGCTTAAAGGATAAGCACAAATGAGAATCATCTGGAATATGGAAATATGGACTAAATTCGAGGTCAAGACAAGACGAATATAAAAGCTCAAAGTAAACTTGGAGAAAAAAGGAATTTCCGACATGCTGACATAAAAACGGAGGAATTGTCAAGAATTCATAGCAAAAGGAAATAAAGGATATAATGTTTAAGAAATACATATTCAAGATACAAAACAGAAAAAATGGTTAAGTCTTTTTCATGGCCTTCACTTCGGGACTGCCGCATCCGCTTCACTTCGATTCTCAGCATCCGGAGGGGGCGGCGAAACGAGGCTTGGCTGTGCCTCATCGGAACTGACCACCGTTCCAAGGGCCCCAATGTCCCCGACGAAGTCTGTAATGGCTCCTTGACGGGTAAACTCTTCAACAAGGCCCTGGTAAACCGTCCTCCACCATTCCAAGTTGGGGTCCTCATTAACATCCCCCTCAAAACCCGGGATCACGTCATCGGGAAGGTCTTCGGCTAGTTCATTTTCCACCAGCGGGAATTCGATGCCGGCACCACCTAACCTCTTTCGAACAGCTGCAACCGCCGATGAGAAGAAGAAACGAGCCAACCCTGAAGCTTCTCGGGTGAAAGTAGTCGAACGCCATAACCGGTGAAAGAAGCGACGAACGAACTCTTCAATAAAACGGAGACCCTCAGGCGACCCCGGGAACAACCTTTGTCCCTCTTTCACCCATTCGGCGAAATTAGTAGAAGCCTGCACTCCGGCTGCGTACAGCTCGTTGGAAAGTCCTTTGGCTTTTTCCTCTAGGCTGGTGACGTGAGAACCCAGGGAGTCCTTCTCCGCCTGCAAGATCTTCTCCCTCTCCTGCAGCCTCTTCACCTCGGCAAACAGCCCCTCCTTCGACGACTCCGACATCGCCAAACTCTCCTTCAGGCCTCGAACTTCTTTTCGAAGTTGAGTCACCTCCTTTTTTTGGTTGTCGTACGCCTCACGCGAGACATCATCCCACCCCAAAGGACCCGAAAAAGCGATGGCGAATTGCTACATGTATAAGAAATTCAAACAAGGTTAACCCTGAATAAAAGATATGAGATTAAGGAATTGGTTCGCATGTTCGAAATAAGACAAACCTGTGTAATGTTGTGAAGAAGTAGCTCGAGTCGGTCGCCCTTACTCATCTGCCCGAAATGAGCAACATCGGTAGGAAAGGCCAAAGACCGACACGCGGCAATGGCGTTCTCCGCGTTTTGACAGAGATGAAGTCCAAAACCGGCAGGTAAGGACGACCCAGCCGGCCCAAGGGCCAAGTCCGTCCTCCGCTTCTTCGGAGCGGGCTCTTTTTCCACCACTTCTTCGGTTGAAGGAGGAGGTGGCGAGGAGGCCAGAACTATGGCAGAAGACCGCCGGGAAGGTTCAGAATCCTCAGCACGCGGCCCACCTCGGGCGCGAGGAGGCGCGGCATTTTTCTTGGGAGGCCTGGGTCTTAGAGCCCCCTCCTCCGAGGAGTGCTTCTCAGATTCGGCGACCAGAGGACGCTGGAATTCGAACGCTTCGAACCCCGGCTCCGGCTCGGAAGGACGAGTAGCCGGTTTGTCACCTCGGAACATCCTCTTCATCCTTAAATCTGCACACCAGAATGGAAAAAAGGTGGTAAGTAAATGAGGAACAAAACAGATAAATACGTAACTAACGAGATAACAAAAGCAATCATACGAAGTAAGACAATGGTTCGAGGAAAGAGTAAGCGTCACAACTAAACCCACCTAAATCTTCCCGAGTTAGGGAATATGTGCCGTTGTCGTGAAAATAGAAGTGACGAAGCATCGGCGGAAAGCTGGTGAGGCTATCCGGGACGCCGTAACTCGGTTGGAAGTGAGATATCATTTTTAACAAACATTCATCAACCGCCAAGGGTTTTCCCCTTTTCTTCTCAGGCAAGGTGGCAAGCCAAGAGCATAAATAGGGAGTATTAACGGGATTTCTTGCGAAAAAATAATGACCTTGCCACCCATCGGTTTTGTTGGGTGGCATCAATATTTTGAAACCCGGACGAGCCGAGATGGAAATATGGAAGGGACTAGAATTTTTCAACACCATGACACTTCGGAAGCGAGCTGGTGTAGGAACCACCCCCGACCAAGCGCATAGCATGCGGAATCCGGTCATGATTATTATGGCATGAGGGTGGAATTGGTTAAGAGACACATTACATAGTTGGGCAATTTCAGAAAACCAGGGCGAGATAGGAAAGGACAGACCGAAATAGAACTGCTCTGAAAACCAAGTACTGAAACCTAGAGGGGGATTTAAAGGGCGGTCATCTCGCGAAGGTAGAATTAACTCGACATCGGTAGGGAGGCCTATGTCGCGAACTAAGTTAGCCAGATCTATTTCGGTTAGGGTACTGGGCCCCCATTGGTCGTCCAAATCTCGTCCCTCGGATAATGAAGGCGAGCCACTCCTCGCGGAAGAAGAAACCTCTTTCTTGCCCCTCTTCTTGGGTCGTTCCAAGAGTTTACCCGAAGGGGAGAAGTAAGGCCCCTCCTCCGACGAGGAAGAGATAGAAAAGGCGGGGTTTCCACCCCCCTCCCCGGAGGGTACTTTTTGGCCAAAAGGGTCAGGAGAATGGACAGACATTATCAATTCGAAGAGTAAAGGCAGGGGTAATAAGAGATGGGGGAAAGAAGCAGTACCTTGACCGGGGAAAGGAGTAAGCTCGAGGAAGGAAAAACTCCGTCTCAGAGAATAAAATCACCAGAAAGCAAATAGGAGGAACGCGTAGGGAAAAAGGAGAAAATTTTTACAAATTGGGCAAGCTGGGTATTTATAGGGAAAAAGATGAAGGGAAATTAAATCTCAACCACCCATTCGGACGAACGAGATCAAAAGCAGGCCGCCTCGAACTCGACGCAAAAAGCACCGATTGAAATCCCCTCATTATGACCTAGGGAACTCGAATCGACCGCATTGATTGATAGGACGGTCAGAGGCGGGAGGCACGTTTCCCCATCAAAAGTAAAAGTTAAAAACGAGCTATTACTTCGCATCTCATACTCCATATTTACCAAACGAGATAACACAGAGTCTTCTCGTCCGATAATTAAGGAGTAGGGGGGAGCAGTTGATACGGGCCATTATGGAAAGGTCAAATGATATTAAGCCCACAATGGAAAGCCCATGGTAACTTAGCCCAGTAAGGCGGAGTTAGGTCGTTAGGTCGTACGACCTCAGAGACGAAATGAGGTACCTTAGCTCGCAGGCCCAGTATCAGCTCGGGGTAAAACGAGCCCATGATAATTAGAGGCCCAAAACGTGTGACTTGAGGGTAAGAGGAAACCCTAAAAAATGAAACCTTGGAGGCCAAGGTTTCCTCATCTATAAATAGAAGGTTCTTCAAACACACGCAGGGGGGACATACATTAATCACTATTTTTACATTGCATACATATTTTTCCTATTCCGATCACTGACTTGATCGTCAGAGCTTTCCCGCCGGGAACCCCTCCCGGCGTTGCAGGTATTCTCACCGGAGTTCGGACCAAGTTGCTTTGGAGAAGACGCAAGCCCCACGGACGAAAACAAAGAACAAACCGAAAAAAAACACAACAAATAATAATGAAAAATAGTATCAAGAAAAATGAAATAACGACGAAATTCAATTAATGTTTTCATCAAGAACAAAAAAATTCGATTGAGAAAAACAACATAATAAAATATGAAAACAAAGCAAACAAAAATATTTTGATTGGTTACGGGGCGGGCGATGTAAAAATATGAGTTAAAACAATAGAGTATTTATAGAGTTTAAGATGTGGTGTAAGAAAATCTTTTTAGAATTTGATATGTTAGGCAAATATATTATTGATTGATATTAATCTAATTAGGAAATTAATCACTCATATTTATGGATTGATTGATGATTCATTATGCTAAATATCAATCTAAAATCGTGATTGGTGTATGTAATATATGGTAAATGTTGGTTATTGACATAATTATTCAAATTCCTTAATTTTAAAATCGGATGTAAATTATTAGCTATGGAAAGTGAGTTACGTATAATAAACATTGCATGCATATAGAAAAGGAAAACTTTGATAAAAAGGTATATTTTATAATTAAAAGAAAATTAAAATGCCAAAGTGAACGTAAATATTTTGGGGTAAAAATTAAAAATAATAATTCTTAATTGTGAATATAATATTGTCTTCATATATTATATGTATTTATTTTAAGAAAAAAAACACATGATTGTATTTCCATTTACAACATAACAAAAAACGTAATTAATGGATTGAGTCAAACATTGTGTGAATTTATTATAAATAATATATTCACATCAAACATTAATCATTCACTTTATTATTACAATTTTCCTTAATTATTAAATTTATTTAAATTAACTGAATTATTAATTATAATATTACCGTTAACATAACCAATTAAAAATGGAAAATATGCATCAACCATTAATTTTAGTTGGTGAAAAAATCCGGTCATTGATACAAATTGAATGTTTCAATATATGAATATAATATAAAAAACAATATATATATATGTATATAATGGATTAATGTATCAGTGAAAAAATATAAATGCATAAATTATTCAAATATAGTTTATTCAAATGTTCCAAAATGTTAAAAAAATGACTTTTTTTATTATTCAAATACACTAAAAATTTCATAATTATTCAAATCCATATTTAAATTGTTGTTTTATTTTTATTTTTTTTTTTGAGTAAAAATTGTTGTTTTATTAACATAACTATTTAAATTAAAAATTCAAATAAAATAATACAAAAAAGAAAATCGAAATATTATGTTTTACGAAAAATTAAGTAATAAGAAATAATATTTTTGGACTTTTTTAAATATAAAATTTATGAAAGAATGTGTATATGTATTAATATTTAAATGAGTGTGCAAATGTTAAATATGAAAGAATAAAAAATATTTTAATGTATATTTATAAAAAAAAAATACTAAATTCGAAAATATATATGTATAATAAAAAAAATTTGAATAATCATAAGAAATTCGAAAAACATATTTCAGGAAAAAAAATATAATATTTTTCGAATATATTGAATATTAAAATGCATGAAATATTATATATATGTGGTAATTATTAAATGAGTGTGCAAGTGTGAAATAGGAAATAACTTAAATACATACCAAAATAAATTGACAGCTCACCAATTGAAGAATCCACCTCATCAATTGAACTCCAACTAAGCAATTTTGATAAATGACATCAACATTTGCCACATGTCAATCATTGAGGGTATAGATTCTCTTTTTATATTATATATAGATTCTTTTTTCTCCTCAAAGAAAAAAGAGAGAATTTGCCCAATTTCTGATTTTAGAACTGTTTTTGAATTCCAATTTCTTGGATTCCGATATTCCATTTTCTTTGACAGGAATGAAAGTTTAATTTTTCAATTTTATGTTTTTCAAAAGAGTTAATTACGATACGATCCCTGCGTTTTCACCTCAATTAAATCCCTTAAATTTAGAAAGTTACTTGGATCTCATTTATTTTTTTCAAACACAAAAAAAGAAAAAAAAAACAGACACAGATATTAGCAGAAAAAATGCATTAAAAAAAAATTCAATGGGGGTTTCGTTGATGCTATTACTATAGACAGAAAAAATATATTTTATATAAATTTAATAAATATTGGCGTGACCATGGCACCATGCCACCCTCTCATAATGCTTATGCTTACATCCACATAAATATATTGTTTTTTTTTTTTAACGAAAAAAGTCACATTAATAACACTAATCAATTTATTTAGGGTAAATTACAAACACCCCCCTGAGGTATGGTCAAATTACAAAAACATCCCTCTTGTTTGGATAATTACAACCACCCCCTCAACTCCTCAAATTTAGTCAAATCTTCGAGATTATATGGAATATTATCACATTTGTACCCGTTTTATCTCATTCAAACTCTACATTATGAAGCAAGATGATCATAATATGTGATTTTTAGCTTGTATATATCAGTTTTTGGTGCATCGGAAACTGTATTTTTACACAAAACGAGTACAAACTAGAGCAAATTTCCCGGAATCTAGATGATTATGTTGAATTTGGCACCATAAGGGTGGAGGTGTAAGAAAAGATCATAGTTGAGGGGGTAGATGTAATTATCCAAACAAGAGGGGTGGTTTTGTAATTTGACCATTTATCAGAAACAAAAAAAAAAGTGTTTGTAATTTACCCATTTATTTATCAGAAACAAAAAAAAGAACATATGCATTATGCAATATGATGTGATTGCGACCCATTTTCGTCGGGTGATGCGGGCCCCACCCAAGCCAAGAGCACTCGTGCAACCAATTCTCAATCTCCTCTCTCTCTCTCTCTCCTCTCTCTTTCTCTCTCATCTCTTCTCTCTCTAACCTGTATTCGTTTGTCTGTTATTCTTCTCTCTCTAACCTGTATTCGTTTGTCTGTTATTAATCAACAGGGGGAGAAATAAGAAATAATGATGGAGGTTCGAGATGACGCCGATGTTCAATCAGGTCATCATCACTCGCCGCCGTCCGCCGCTGTATCGTCCAAGCAACTCCTATCTTCTCCTACTCCCGTCGATACCAATTCCGTTACCCAAAGGTACAGTTATTCAATTTTAATATTTCCTATTAAAATTGGTTTTTTGGGTTTTTTTTTTTTGTAATTACTAATTGTTCGTGAAATTACCGAAAACAATTAATCAATCAAAGACTAGCACTTTTTTCTTCATGGCCTTTTGATTTTCAATATGTCTTTTGCAGGTTGCAGAAGGAGCTGATGGCTCTCATGGTATGTGTGTATTAATTTACAAAATAAACGAAAAATAATACATGCACACCATCTGTTTGATTAAAGTACTCAATGACGCAATTGAATCTCAATGAGGTTAACTCGAACTATTCTGCTGCTCTGTTCTGTTGGTTATATTTTATTGGTTATTGAAAAGCAAAATATTTGAGAGTGCAGAGAGAAAAAATCACGGTGTTAACTTAATCGCTTAACTGAATTTACAACGTTTTTACGAGCAAAATCCGATTATAATTGATTTTAATTGTAACTTTTTCATATAGATGAGTGGAGGGGATTTGGGAGTATCTGCCTTTCCTGAAGGAGAGAGCATATTTACATGGATCGGAACTATTGAGGGCGGCAAAGGAACTATGTACGAGGGTTTATCTTACAAACTATCCCTTCGATTTCCACTTGATTATCCTTTCAAGCCTCCTCAAGTTAAGTTTGAGACGATGTGCTTCCATCCAAATGTCGATCAGTACGGGAATATTTGTTTGGACATTCTTCAGGTATTGCCCGTAATTCTCGTAATTTATCTGTTATACTCTTACATGCCGATAGATTTCAATTTACCCAAAAAAAAAAATCCGCGTAAATTTATATGTATTTTACGTCTCTTTGCAGGATAAATGGTCTTCGGCATATGATTGCAGAACAATTCTCTTGTCTATACAGAGTCTTCTAGGAGGTGAAAATGATGTTCCGAGTTTTCACTTTTTGATTCTCTTTGTTTGGCTATGTTTTTTGTTGTTCTTATAATCTTGTTTTCTTTTGCAGAACCGAATAACGAGAGCCCTCTCAACAGCTCTGCTGCTTCACTCTGGAAGAACCAGGAAGGTCGGTAATTCTGCTCGAAAATCAACAGAAAAAATATTTTCATTCATAACTGTTTACTTTTCTAGTTGAATTGAGCTTCTTTGAATAAACCTTCCATGGGTACAATTTATTATAAAGAACTCGATTTTGCTATCTAAAGGTGAGTATTTCGGGTAAAATGCCTCAATTTGATAACTTGCTCATTAAAAAAAATCGTAACTTCTTGAATTTCAGAGTACAGAAAAATGGTGCGCAAACATTACATGGCTGGAGAAACGTTTGAGAACTGATCCTCAAATTCTCATCCCAACTGTAAAAAGGATCTGCGAGACAACAATAAACTTCGTGATGGAAGAATATTTGTAGGGGAATATTAAGGTTAAACGACGTTTTTTCCTTTTCTTTTCTTTTCGTATTTATTTAAAATCACAGAAAATCAAGACACGTGTGTAGTTTATGCAACATTTTTGCTTCATTGCTAGATTTGCAGCACCGTTGATTTATGTATTTGTGTATCCAAATATGAATGTTTGTATAGAGATGTTGTATAGTTACTCAAAAAGTCAAAATTCATGTTTAAGGTTTTGATTCGTTCGTAATCTCGATTATTTCTTGCTCATTAATTGAGGAAGTTTACTACCTTGCTATTACCAGTTGAGGGAGAATGGTTGAGAGTGGCAAGTTTATCAGACTGTACATATATATATATATATATATATATTTCTTTTTTTTTCTTTTTGGGATTTAAACGACTCTCAAATATTTATTACAATTTCGATAAAAAAAAAATCAGAAATCAGAATTTTGAAAATTGGAACGGAAAAATTTGTTTCACTGGAAGATTTGTGGATGAAATCGGTCGAATCCAATTTTTTTTACTTTTTATCGGTTTATGATATAAAATGCATAATAATATTGACAATATAGCTATAATTTTTGGGAAGAAAGTTTGGAACTTTGAAACTATTTTCGAAAATTAAAATCGGATGGAAAATCGGAACCTATATATATATATATATATATATATATATATATATATATATAAACCCGATCCAAGAACTTTGCAAAAAAAATGGAAATTAAAATTTTCGAAATTGTAAATATAGTTTTATAAAATTGAAATTTTGTTGGATTCAAATATACGCAACTTGAAAATTTATTATATATATATATATATATATATATATATATGGGCAGATTATTATTGGCGCGCATTCTCCATTCATTAACCGCCATTAACGGCGAACCCTCTGTTCCACCAGAAAAAGGGTGAAGAATGTCAGAAAGAGAAGACGGCCGCCGTTTCTCATTCCCAAAACAACAAGAGATCGGAGCCCCCTTTTTCCCTCTTTCCCCAAATCAAAAAGAGGAAAAACAAATCAGAAGAAAAAATGAGCGTAATCGATATTCTGTTCAGGCTGGATGACATCAGCAAAAAGTACGAAAAATACGATGTCGAAAAGCAGCGCTCCGTCAATGGTTCCTCCGACGACGCCTTCGCTCGCCTCTACTCCTCGTTCGAATCCCAAATTGAAGCCACTCTCATGGTCAGATCGGAAATCAATTAATTTAATTTTTCCCTAATTAATTGATTTTTATTCTAAAATCAATTTTTTTCGTCTAGAAATCGGAGGTGGCGGCGGTTGAGACAAACAGGGCAACTATGGTGGCGATGAATGCGGAGGTGCGGCGGACCAAAGCCAGGCTTATGGATGAGGTGCCTAAGTTGCAGAAACTTGCTCAGAAAAAGGTCCTTTTTTTTAACCCTAGCAAAAATTTTTTTTTTTTTTAATTGTTTGTTATGAGATATTCTGGTTATATTTATAGTTGATGGATATTATGGATCATTATTGGGATTCAATGTATCTATACAATTTATGTATGTATTGCTGCATACACAATTCGTGACGGGAAAGAAAAAAAATCGAGAAGACAAATAGATTCGAAAGTTACACAATGATCATAGTGAATGGTATTATTACATCAAAGGATAGGTTCGTTGAAGAAAACGAGAAAAAAACTGTCGTGTATTAGATTAGCTAACAAGATTTTTACCTAGTCTGCGTAACTAGAGCAAGAGATTGAAATGCAAAGGCTACCTATAAACTTCAGTCTAGAAAAAACAAATTTACGTGGCCGTAGTGAAATCAAAGAAACTACCGCGTCGAACTTGGATAAGTAATAAACTGATATATGTTTTGCAGCTGACTAAGCAATTACTATTAATAGGGCGATGTTTTGATGATAATATACAATTAATTCCAACAGGTGAAAGGCCTTACTAAAGAAGAACTGGAAGCTCGAGTTGACCTTGTTCTCACACTTCCCGAGAGAATTCAAGCAATATCAGACGGCAGTAGTAAACAAACTCAAGGATGGGGCGCTTCATCTTCTCATAAGAAAATAACGTTTGATTCTGGTGATTCTTGATGTTGTATTTTTTGTTAATTTTTTTTTACTTGTAAATAAATTTCTGGACGAGTTTTTTTTATTTTTTTATTTTTATTTTTTTATATATGACCCTTATATATATGTGTATATATATTAGATGGGAAGTTTGATGACGATTTCTTCCAACATAGTGAAGAAGCAACTCAATTTAAGCAAGAATTCGAGATGCGGAAAATGAAGCAGGCTTGTAGCGCCTCCATTTTTCTTCTTGTTTTTTTTTTTTAATATTATTTCCTCCCTTGAGATTGATTTTTATTTTTATTTTTTGGTGCAGGACGAAGGTCTGGACGTAATATCGGATGGTTTGGATATATTAAAGAATTTGGCAAAGGATATGAATGAGGTAATTTGCTTGGTGGCATTTTCCCCCACATTTGATGCCATTTAAATAATTAAAAAAAAAAACGAGTCTAATTTAATTTATCTCCACTTCTTCGTTTTTCTCGTTCCAGGAATTGGATAGGCAGGTCCCGTTGATGGATGAAATGGATACAAAGGTTTGAATATTTATTCTTACTTTTTTTTTAATCGAGAAGGAGCAAGAATTTATCGAACTAATTATTTTCCCTCGGTGTCGTGCAGGTGGATAAGGCTTCAAGTGATCTGAGACGTAATAACGTTAGATTGAAGGAAACACTTCATAATGTAAGTATATTTGTTGTTTCTCAATTTTAAATCGATCTTTTATTTATTTATTATTTTTTCTTTTTTTCGATATAAATTTTGTTATCATGCGCAGGTGAGGTCGAGTCAGAACTTCTGCATTGATATCACTCTGATGTGTATTTTTCTGGGAATTGTAACCTATTTATACAAGTGAGTCCTCTATTTATACGAAATATCGCAAATATTATTTAGGAACCTCGCATTTGAATTAAATAAATACTCGATTCTCACGCAAAACTCAATTACTCAACATTCCGTACTAATTGATTGTTCACTTTGACTAATGCAGAATATTGAGCTGAACGCTTTCGAAAGATTCCATGCATCACCTTGTTTTTCGTGATCTCGAGTTTGCCTTGTAGTACAGTCACTTTCTTTCCTCGAGTAAAATATATGTTCATTCAAACGTTACTTTATCTAGATTGTATTATGTGAAGTAATTATTAAGCTTATTTAATGTATTCGTATTTTTAGTAGTAACTCATTCCGGAAGTTTCTCAAGCTCCCACACACGTACGAGTCCTTATTTGGTTAGTAAGATAAGTCACGATCAATTAAATAATTCGAACTTATTTGATGCTGTCCACTATGATTCATATCACTTTTCGTGTTATTAACATTTCACACACAAACTTTACAACTTCGAAAATACATGCAAGTACAAATAAATAAAGTAAACTACGCACGATAACTCGATCGGATTCGAGGTCTTATTTAATTTGAAGATGCACAGAAAACCAATTGCTCCTTTTTTATTATAGAAAATTATCAGATAATAATGCTGGAATATCGAGTTCTTTCATGTTGGTGTGTTGGCAATATGAGTTTGTATCCATTGTAGCTACCGTTTTTCCTGACAGAGAGGTCGTTTGTACTGAGTCGGAGAAACTCTCGAGCAAAGAGAAATTTTCTTCGGTATTAATATTTTCCGACGTAATTATTTGTTCGCGTATTGTTCCAGGAATAGTTAAAAGTCCAGGATCATGTCCAATAAGTAACGAAGCTATTATATGATATTCAGTCGATAGCAGATAATCTGCAAGCATATCTCTTCGATTTTCTCTACACAGTGAAGGAGGCTCATCTTCTTGGGCTATTATATTTTTTGACTTGTTGCCTTTTTGTCGAACCCGACACAAAACCCAGTCATCCAACTGAATGGTGGTTATCCAAATCATTTTATTAGTCGTTGCGCGTATAATATATACATATATTTATTTCATTTGGCAATTAAAAAAAAAAAAAAGACTTACCCTCATGGACCCTTTGGAGGGACAAGTGTGGGGAAGTCTATATTCGATCATGATCCAGTTCATCTTGATTCCGTTTGGTGGCTTACCTTTGTAGAAAACGAGAGTTTTTTTGACACCGATTTTTCTTGATCCGGTTGAGTTTAGGATTGGTTTATCGATTCCGGTAGCTTTCCAGTAACCTGATACTGCTGTTCGATTAGGCCTCCCTCCGTTAGGATATTTCCTATCCCTCGGTGTAAAGAAGTACCATTCCTCTTCTCCAGCAAACAATGCTTTTCCTGTGTGTATTATGTGTATATGAGAGAGAGAGAGAGAGAGAGAGAGAGAGAGAGAGAGAGAGAGAGAGAGAGAGAGAGAGAGAGAGAGAGAGAGAGAGACGCGTATTACGTAAGGAAAAAGAAGGATGTAAAAGTCGAAGAGAAACATACTAGGGAGATCCCAAGGGTTGTAGCTATAGAGATGTATATCAGTAATCACATTTGGTGGCAATGGAAGATAATTAACTTTTCTGTGTAGGTAATAACTGATTAATTCCTCATCAGAAGGGTGGAATCTGATTCCAGGTGGATATTCTACATCCGAAAAACGATTCTTTTCCTCCATTAAAAAAAAAAGAAAAAAGAAAAAAAAACACCCTTTTAATTTTCCTGCTCCGATTAGGGCAAGATTGGCTAAAGAGTGTAACTTGGCAGAACGGTGCGTCGGTATATATATAGATGGATGGATGGATGTTAGTTTATATACTTGTTCATTGTTCTTACCGAGCCAAGAATTTCGGATGGTTACGAAATGTCTTGTTGTGAATCGACATTATTGTAGCAGCTGCATGACAGCCGATAAGTTAACGCATGCAGAAGGTATATTTCATTTATTATGGCATGGCATTGCATAAGTATTTTACCATGATGTTGCTATATTTTTGTGTATGTATATTTATAGATATATATTCTGTGTTATGTCTTAACTTCCTTGGATTAATGTTGAGGTAAGAATTTATTTTAATTACATGATGTTTTAGTATACATACATGAATTCGTGTTGCGTTTGGAAATCCGAAATTGTCGAGAAGTGAAGCAGCAAGCAAGCACACACCTAGACAAATTTATAGGCAAAGTTGTTAATTTGTGCTTCTAGCCTTGTTTCCTCCGAACGAATTTGTTATTTACGTAATAAAAAAGTTTATCATAATATATAATTGGGATCATTTCATTGACCACCACACTTGAAAAAATATATTGAACTAACTGCCAAGAAGATTACACTTGTTACGATTAGAGCTCGATCGTAAATCGAGAGAAAAGAGGGGGTAATTTTATTGAATTCAAATTTGGTTTTCTACCGAAAATTACACACATGAACTAAACTTTTTTTTTTATAGCCGACGGTTAGCCACATGTCGACCAGTCATTGGCTTTAGGTTTACGGATAAAAGAAAAGAAAGATAACAAAAATGTGAAAATGTTTTCGTAAGTGTGAGTTGCGCCAACGTCACTAAACGGTGTCGTCTCTCTTGTATCCTTCACCTAGCTACCAAACGCCGTCGTCTTCGGGGTAGCCGTTATAACCGTTACATGCCTCCCCCCTTAAGGAACCGTGTCCGAAAATTATAAAATCGATTCAGAATACCAACAACATCTTTCCACGTAGCTTCAGCCTCGGATAAGTGAGGTCCTAGGATCGAATCCTGACAGCCGCAGTGTGAGAATTTCAACTCCAATGAGGCCAGTGTTGGTTCCTTGTGACTTGTGAGCACCAGGTCCGGGTCCGCTACCTTAACGGACCGTTGAGTTACCATGATTTACATTCCTCTATCAAATACTTGTCGGGCCAAGAGATGGGGGCCCTGTGGACGAGGGATTTCACTTTATGATACAAGCCTCCAGTAAGTGGGCCCACTTATCATTTATCAACATGTGACCCATGGCGATATTTTTCAATGTTTTACCCATATTTATTCGTCATTTGTTTAGGGAATATAAGATTTTTAAACTAGGACACTGTATTTGAGGCGCGTGAGTAGTTTGTGCCAACATTCTTGAGACATAGAAAAGAATCCATGTCCTTCAAAATAGCAACATCCAATAGCTTCATTCCAAAAGTGGTTGATGAGTATTTAAATTTAATATTTTCTAAATTTTTGGCAAAACAAATTATGTCATCATTAATTCAATTTCACATACTTCATTTTCTAATTAATTGACTTTTTTTCAGCTTTGCATATGTATTATTAAGACCGTCAACAAATATGTCTTGATTGTAAGAAAGTTACAGTAAATTTATTTATTTATTTTGTGTTTTCATTTTTAGTCAATTATTATTTAAAATTTTCAAATTGAGAAAAATTCTTAAGAGAAACGTGTGGGTCTCGTGGGGTAGTCGACATTTGAAGGGGTAGCAGTCATCTCTTGTCTTTCTTATCAACTTATCTCTTTCCCAATTTTTCTTAACATGCATATTTTTATTTTATTTTTTATGTTTTTTCATATATTATTTGATGTGTTGTGGTTGATGTGTCAATTTTAATTTAGCTCTTATGAAAAGAAAAAAAATAGCATATATTTAGGGGCTCAATTTCTCACTCTACTTCCTTGTTTGTATAATTACGAGTACATCCTTGAAATATCGGCTGCGAAAAACCGTAACATAACATATATAGTGATTGTGTAAAATAAAAATGTGTTAAATGGAAGAGAAAAAAAGGTCATTAATATAATTTTCTGATATTCTTACATTTGGCCCCTCATGCAATATAAAACCTTATACATAATCCCTTTTAACACAAAAACGACCTTTGTTAATAGTGAACCAAAAAAACATTCCAAAAAAAAAAAAAGAGTTCAAAAAATAAAATTATAAAGAAAAAAGAGAGAAGTGTTTTACAAACCATACTATTAGACCCCTAAAGGGAATTCTACTCATTATAGATGAATATTTCATGGAATCTATATGATTTCGTTAATTTTAACTTTGTGAGGGTAAATTACAGGACGAAGAATACCTAAAGGGGTGCTCAGTAATTATGCAAAATAAGGAGGACTTTTTCATAATTAGACATTACTTCAGGGGTAGCTTGTAATTTGCACTATAGAATACGGCAAAAGTCACATTCATGTTTTATTATTTATTATAATTTTATTTAGAGGAAAAATGAGTGTGGTGGGCCCATAACAAATCTACCTACTCTCCCACTGAATCCATTTGCCGTCAGTTGTTCACGAGACGGCACCGTATTATAAATAATACATTTACTACTATTTGTAGTACTATTCAAATTTCTTTCATTACAAATTAATTAAAAAATTAAAAAAATAAAAATAATTATGGCATAATGATTTTTCACGAACCCCCTTTGGCTCTAAAAAGTTTATCAGCTTTTCGTGACTACCAAAGTTAAAAATTCCACTTTTACATCACCCAATGTCTTTGACTACCAACAAATCTTAATTCTTAATTTTTTTTTAAATAATATATATATATATATAAATGAGTATTTTGTTAAGATTTTTAATATTTTTTTTCGTCACTAGTAATGTTTTGAATCCTTTTGGGGGTTGTTTACTTTAACTTTGGGGAAATAAATTTTGACGGAATAAATTGAGAAAGAAAATAATATTTGCTTATAATTTGAGACCAGACAAAATTAATTGTAACAGTCAAATTATATTTAAAGATGTTGGAACAATGTATTTAAAAGAATAATTTAAAAAATAAAGTGATTAAGCTTGTTTTGAAAAGTTAAACAAATATATATTCGCTTCGAGAAAAAACAAAAAAAAAAAAAAAAAAAAAAAAAAAAAAGGATAAAAATGAAATGAAAACCTAACCGAAGATTGACTATTTGGATCGTAATACTTCTAGATTATCTTTAAAAAAAATTATCTGTCAGACTATTTTTTAAATTAATTTATAATATTAGTAAACGTATAAATAAATAAATAAGAACAATAATTCGTCCAATTCCTATGTCTCACTTTCAAAACTTGCAATTTCCACATATACAGTCATTATTTAATTAATTCTAATAAAATCATCTGCCATAGAATGTTTACATATATATTCCAAGTTATATATCATATTTTAGTCAAATTAGAATCAATTATTCTGGTACCTAATGCTCTTTCAGAGAGAGAGAGAGACTCCATGTAAGATAAGGGGGAGAGAGAAAGGGAAAAGAAAATATTCTCAATTAGAGATTTTCTTCATTGGCATATTTATTTATGGTGTTTTTTCAGCTAAGATTCAAAAAATAGATGCAACCAAAAACAAAATATCTCTGCTGTCATAAAAACCTAGCTAGCTCATCAGCTTATAAGCTAGTTCCCTTTTTTGAGCTTTCTTTTTTACACAAGCTTTAATTCTTCTTCTTCAGGTCTTTTTTACCCATTTTCAGCTCTACATATTCTTCTTCATTTCACACACACACACACACACACACACACACACACACTAGAATCATCACCAAGAATCATAGTACAAGAAGAAAAAAAAATGATGTCTGATGATGGGCAGCAGCTTGCTTCCATTAGATCCTTCATTCAAGATCCTAATCCAAACCCTAATCCCATTATTCATCCATCCAAACGCAAACGAAATCTCCCCGGAACACCAGGCAACCTTAATTAATCTCAATTAATTAATTAATTTCTTGCACATATATATATATATACATACACATATACATATGAATTGAATTTATATATGTATGTGCAGATCCGGATGCGGAAGTAATGGCACTGTCACCAAAGTCGCTAATGGCGACGAACAGATTCGTGTGCGAGGTGTGCAACAAGGGTTTCCAGCGCGACCAGAACCTCCAGCTACACAGAAGAGGGCACAATCTTCCATGGAAACTTAAGCAAAGAAGCAACAAAGAATTCATCAGGAAGAAAGTCTACATTTGCCCCGAGAAAACATGCGTCCACCACCACCCGGCCCGGGCACTCGGAGATTTGACCGGGATCAAGAAACACTACAGCAGGAAACACGGCGAGAAGAAATACAAGTGCGATAAATGCTCGAAGAAGTACGCGGTTCAATCCGATTGGAAAGCCCACTCCAAGATCTGCGGTACCCGCGAGTATAAATGCGACTGCGGAACCCTCTTCTCCAGGTCCTGATCGATCATCCTTTATATATATACAGTAGAACATCGATAAATTAAATTAATAACCTCGCTTAAGTAATAGTTTCTTCTGGTCCTTTAGTCGGTGAAAACCTACTGAATTATTAATTCGCTAATTTAATATTTCGCTGAATTAATAGAATTTTGCTGATTCTCGACTTTATTAATTTATAGAGGTTTAATGCAAAGTCTGTGTGTATTTATTGGTATTACAGAAAGGACAGCTTCATTACACACAGAGCATTCTGCGATGCGCTGGTCGAAGAAAGTACGAGGTTTAATAACAATAATTCGCCGCCGCCAGTTTCTTCTTCTGCCGGAAATAGTTTGAAGTTTTCAGGCGGGATGTTCGTCGGGTCGTCGTCTCAAAATCATCATCACATGATAAACCTGGATTTATTACAAAAGACGCCGCCACCACTCAGGAATATTCCGGTGTGGCTCGACAGTATTGCAAATCCGGGCTTACCGGAATTTGAGCAAATGGCGGCAGAGGCGCAGAACGAGTGGTTCGGTAGGGGACAAGAAACAATGTTTGGCGGCGAGAATAATATTTGTAATATTAACAATGGTTCAATGGAAGAAGGGAACAAATTAGGAAATATGTCTGAAGCAATAAGTAGTTCGATTTATTACAGCAGCAAAGAAAGAAACCACCACCATCATCATCTTCATCAGCTCCGATGTCTGCAACTGCATTGCTTCAGAAAGCAGCTCAAATGGGGTCGACAAGAAACGCCGCCGTTTTGGGTGGCATTGGCACCGGTTCTTTTGGGCTGATGATGAGCTCGTCGTCTTTATCCAATAATCATGGAAAAAGCTTGAGTAATCCATTAATGGCGGCCGGGGACAAAAATACCACAAACAGCGGCAAATTACTACTAAGGAGTGGGATCATCGGAGATGAAAGCAGTGATCTCACCCGGGATTTTCTTGGTGTGGGTGGTGATAGAAACCGGCGGCGGTTCTTGCAAGAGAATGATGACCTGGCAAATTTTGGTTCAATGCAGGGCGCTTCCGCCATGGATATGATGAATCATTACACCAGAAACCACTGACACCGGTAAACAAACAAAAAAAAAAAAAAAGAAGAGCAGATTTTCCCTAGAAACAGAAGAGAACTTGTGAACTGTCAGAGGTAGGGTGGGGTGGGGGGGGTGGTGCAGCATGTTGGAAGAGACGTGACAGAAGGTGACGTGGCAATCACGGGGAAGAAAGTTGAGTTGTTGTTACTGCATGTAGAAGGTATTTTTTATGCTTTTTATTTTTCCTTTTACCTTTTGGGGTTAGGGTTTGATATATGGACCACTCACTGCATATTATTTGAATAAATGTATTAATTAATTAATTAAATTTTTCGTTTAATTAATATTTGGAAAAATAAAATAAAATAAAGTGGATATTCAGTACCGTTTAGGGTGGGTTGGGCCTGTAGATTTATGCTATTTTGGATTTCCATCTTAAGGCCCATAACATGAATATTATAAATATTGTTTTTTGAAAGGGTAAAATCACACCTACACCCCTGATATATGTTAAAATAGTTTTACGGTCCATGTAGTAGCGGTAATAACAATCAATCCTGAAACATATTTTTTCGTTTTTGGTTTAGAAGATTTTTTTTGATCACTTGTTGAAAGTATATGATGGATGCATGTAAAAAAATGTTGGCTAAATTACGGTCACTTCCTGAGGGTAATGTCAAATTACGAAAAAAAATCCTTCGTGTTTGGATAATTACAACCATCTCCCTGAACTATGAATCTACTTACACATTCATCCAAATTCAACATAATTTTCTAGATTTCGTGAAATATTCTCTAGTTTGTACTCGTTTTGTGCAAAAATACAGTTTTTGATGCACCGCAATCTGATAGTTAGAAAGCCAAGAGACACATCTTATGATTAGATTATTTTAAAATGTGGAGCTCGAATGGAGTAAAACGAGTACAAACTGAAGAATATTTCATATAATCTGGAATATTTCACTAAATTTGACATATCAATAATAAACATGCATGTAAGAAGATTCATAATTGAACGGTGGTTTGTAAATTACCCAAATAGGAAGATTTTTTTATATATATATAGTTTAAACTAATTACACGTGGTCGTAATTAACCCAAAAATGTAATATATATGTGTAAATAGGACATATGTAAAAAATGTAAAATATCACTTATATTAAAAATATTTATCACTTATAATACTGATACAAATCTTTGAACAATAGATCATCACATCACATACACAAACACAAAGAAAATGAAATAAAAAATAAGGAATCAAGAAAAGGAAAAATTACAATTTGAATATAAAAAAAAATTAAAGAAACAAAAATGTTGGACAAATTAAAACCCTCTCATCAATTCAAAAAATCACAAACCAAAAATTGCCAAAACCGCTATCCCAAGCCCCACAGCTCCATGCACGGCGATTCCAGCCGCACCAGACGCATCCACGTCAGCGCCGCCGCCAACCGGGCTATCGGCGGCCCCGGATTTCTTCTTCGTCGCCTTTGGCGGCGACGGGGCGGCGGCCGGCGCCGGGGTCCCGAACAAACTCAACGGAAGAAGCACCTTGTCAACCTGGTAAACAGCGAGCTGGTTGTCGGAGTAGACGGTGTTCGCCACGGTGGCGTCGTTCACTCCGGTGGAGACGTTCACCTGGCTGCCGGAGGTGGTGACGTTCAGAGGGAACGCTCCGGCGGCGCTGTCGCCGGCCTGAGTCCTCAACGGATTGCTCACCGTCTGGAACTGTGACATGGAGAGGAAAGCCGGCAGGATGTGGAACTGGACCAGCGAGACCTTCTGCTGGTCGGTCAACGAGTTTAGGGTTCCGGCGGGGAGGTTGGAGAACGCGTTGTCGGTGGGGGCGAAAACGGTTAGCCCCTGGTTGGAGTTGTTGAGCTGCGTGTTGATTTGGTCGCATATTTGGGTGATCTTGCAGAGGCGGATTAGGGTTGTGTATTGTCCGGCCTTCTCGAGGATCTTGGTTATGTTCGTGGGGCCCGCCGGCGCTGGCGCCGGAGTTTGCGCTACGACGGTGGTTGCGCATTGGAAGAGACATAGGAGCATTGTAACGGATAGTGAGAAAAGGGCTTTTTGGTCCATTGCTTTTATTATTTTTTCTTGATTTTCAAGAATGTGTGTGTGTGTGTGTGTGTGTGTGTGTGTGTGTGTGTGTGTGTGTGTGTGTGTGTGTAGAAGGGGAAAGAAGAGGGGGGTTTTATGGGGGGTTGAGAGAGAAGAAATTGTTAATTAGGTGAAGTGGTGTTCATTAATTATGAGCTAGTTGGCATTAGTTGTAAAATGTGATGGGAATTATTAAATTTGGTGAAGTGTTGCAATAATATATAGTTAGAAGAATTTAATTAGGAGAAATTGTATGTTTTCTTGAATTATTTTATGAGTAATTTCAATCATAATATTACACTTTCTAGATTAATTTCAATCATGCAAGACACAAGAGCAAAGATGGTAGATTATTTTGCTTGTGAATGCAGGAAAAACAGAACATTACTCATATCTTTATGTAAGTGGAATGTTGGGAGGTGTATCATATTATGGTTGCTTAGCTTTTACTACTTGTGTGCAAATATATATAGGATAAATCATGTTACCCCTTGAGATAAGGTTAAATTACGAAAAATTTCCTCTTGTTTGGATAATTATTTCTACTATCCTCAATTATAAATTTTCTTACACATTCATTCTTATGGTGTCAAATCCAACACAATCTTCTAGATTCCGTGAAATGTTCTCTAGTTTGTACTAATTTTGTGTAAAAATGCAGTTTCTAATGCACCACAATCTGATATTTATAAGTCAATAGACACAGTCTCACGATTTATATTTGTGATTGTTTTGGAAATGTTTGTGTTGAATATGTACTCATACATGAGAAGTATTTGTTCTCTATATTTGTATTTGATAGTATGTTTAACTTAGAGAAGTGTACTTAAAAGGTAAAATAAAATTGAGGTATGGATGAAGTGAATTAAGCTAGGTATTTTAAAGGTTGTTAGAAGATCCAATTCTAAATTGATTGCAAGTCATATTCGATTTAAAAGAAGTGACGTAGGGAACATAATCAATCAATTAAGACCATGATCAAATCTTGATAGTGAAGAAACTATAATGTCCAAACCCCACATCCAGCTTTAATATTTCTTTTCACATAAAAGTGTTTCATAAATCCTAAAATTATAACTACCTCTGAGGTAATGTTAAATTACAAAAATCCCCTTATATTTTGGTAATTACAACTACCCTCGGCTATGAATCTTCTTACACACTCATTCTTATGATGTCAAATTCAACATAATCTTCTAGATTATGTAGAATGTTCTCTAGTTTGTAATCGTTTTGTGCAAAAAATACAGTTTTTGATGCACCACAATCTAATATATACAAGCCAAAAAACACATGCATCTTATGATCATTTTGGTTCAAAACGTGGAGTTCGAATGAGATGAAACGGGTACAAACTTGAGAATACTTCATGTAATCTAGAAAATTTCAAGAAATTTGACACCGCAAGGATAGACGTGTAAAAAGATTCATAATTAAGGGGGTGATTGTAATTATTCAAATATGAGAGAGGTTTTTGTAATTTGACCTTATCTCAGGAAAGTGGCGTAATTTAGCCTTCATATTATTAATTGTGTAAAACAACATCATTTGATATATAATTTATGTATATACTCGGTTATGTATATGTGTAAAAGTGTAAGCAATGAAATCTTATTTCATTTTGCAAAAGGAGAAAAAGAAAAAAAAAAGTCTTATATGATTGGGCCGGGCCTAACATAGGACACCTGGGGCAACTGTTCAAAGCCCAACGCTAAAAGGGCCCGATATTTTTTATATGCATTTTCTAAATGAACTCGCGAAAAATATTTATTAATTTTAAATTGACTTAATTTTTTTTGTATCGATGTTAGAAACTTTAAAAGAGCCCAAGTTCTCAATATATTCAATTTGATATTACAAATTTAATATTTGTAAATATATTCATTTCTATTTTGTTGTTAATAAAGTGATAATAAATATGTAATATATAGATGTTATACCATTTTACAGATATACCCCCAAAAAGAATCTAAGTTCACAGATATTTATATTGCAATAAATACTGAAACTAAAAGTTGTTGAACTGCATTTATACAGAAAGATAGATAGCCTCATCAATTCCCCTTTGTATAGTTAGTTGTACAGATAAACATTATTTTATTAATTTTGAGGAGAAAAATGATGAAATTTGGTGACTTAATTTTCAGAGGACAACTTTTAGAGAACCGACAGAATTCAGGTCCTTGTTAGTCAATATATTCTGTTGATTTGTATTTGATTGAATTCATACTACGTGCAAGGAAGGCTGGACATGAGTGCGGTCGGGTAATTATCGGTGAATTTATCTACTCGACCCGACCATTATAGTTGGCAATCGACTTTGTCAGATAAATAATGAGTTGATTGGTTGGTTGGTAGGCCGATATTATGCCTAACCAACTGACTTTTTGAGTAAACTGAAAATCACTAATCGACTCATTTATATATTGGTCGGTTAAAATTATCGATCATAATCTATAAATGAGTTAATTATCGACTACCGGCGAAGAAAAGTGGATCGGTTGGCCGATAAAACCGACCCATATCCAACCCTAGGGGTAAGGAGACTTTATTATTTGCACAATCAATTGTTACAATCAAACATCATGCATAATGTGCCCAATTATCACTTGTTAATTGAATGATATAACTACTCACTCCATTATAGAGGATCATATACCATCTTTTGGACAATTATACGTTTCTAGAATGTTAATATTTGCTAAAATATTTAAAATAATGCAACTATAATTAATAATTTAATTTGATTGTGCTTACAAAATAATGGAATTATTTATTTATTCAATAATAAAAAAAGTACAATCCTAAAAAAATCGGACCCATTAGCAAACCATTGGTCGAACACGTTCTAACTATGGGTTTTATAAATGCTGCACCCGGTGAAATATATTAGGTGGTCATGTACCATTAATCTATACATAATAACACACTCATGTGTATATTTACTTACTGAATAATTATTTGTATAGATTTTAAGGTGCAAAACAAAGCATCTCACACACCCTAACTATGCTACCTAAAAAAATAGTATTAATTGACTGAAAAAGAATAAAAATTATCAAAACGTGGTCCAAGTGGATTAATCATATCCAAGGCTTCAAATTATCCTAGTCTTGCACGACACTTTGAATGTGATGTGACCATCTTCCTTCAATTGATCACCAATAAAATACAATAAATAAATAATCGTGGCAATACTAATCAAATCCTTATCCTTTTCTATTAATTAAAATTTTTAGGTCGATGTTTTTGTTAGGGAAGAAAGATCCCACAAGTACTAATTAAATTTTTTTATGGAAAAATTCAATAGAAATCAAATTATATGACAACATTTAGATGTATATAATAGATTGATAATTTTTAAGTTAGAACTGATGATAATTAATTTGGTTATAATATAAGTCGTGCACGTCAATATTTTATTTACGCAATAAATTTGCAGTTGGACTTAGTTCTGGAAGAAAAAAAATCAAGTTTTAAATTTATAAATTAGCCTGAAATAAAAACCTATATATTCTGATAATTGTGTTGAAGACTTGAAGTTAAAGTTGTACCAAATTGTCCTTTATTAGGAAAAATAACTTTCAAAATGTCCATTTCTTTTATTATTCTCTACACTAAAACTCCCTCCTAAAATTAACAAAAAATATCTTTTGTGCCAAACAATAAATAAAATAAATACATGTCGATTTGGTACAATTTTGCTTCAATATAGAAATATTATATGTTGATGTCATGAAGGATTAATTAACTATATATAGCTTTATTTGATGCATGTATTAAAATGTGCAAATTATTTGGAAAAAAGAATGATAATTAATTAGGATAATTAAGTGGTACGATAAATAGACACTAAGGTGGTGTTTGCAAATGATTATTTAAAAGCAGAAGTTAGTGATTGTGATTTAAGTTAGTTTTAAGTGTTTATTGCTAAAAGTTGGGGGTGTTTGCAAAAATTTCGAAAAATGAACTAAAATTGAAAAAGCAGGGTTATGGGTGCTTTTGAAAAAATAGCTTAAAGCAGATTATTTTAAGAGAAGCAAAAGCAAAAGTTAATTTTGCAAACACCTAAAAAAAGATTATGAGCAAAATAAACCGCATAATCACTTTCAAAAAGCATTTGCAAACACCACCTAATAGTGATTAGTGGGTTAAGTGAACTTAATCACTATACTGTATTTGTTGGGCATGCAATGCCACGTCACCACCGACAAATGAAGTGATTCCCACCTCATTTCAAAGCTAGTCATTAAGCTTTCATGATCGATGCAATGATTAGAAACTTTATTTTATAACTTTTTTCCTAACTTATTATTAATATTAATAATTTTGCAATTAGTAGAGTACTATTAATTCTAAAAACTGTGTTTGGATTTTAGAGTGTAATATTTACTAGTATAATTAAACACCGACAACCTGCATGCATTTATTTCTATTCTACACACACCCAGTGTATATGAATGGTGGTAAAGATTTACCGAGTGTATTTCACGCGGTATAGCATAAAATAGACCGAAGCATGCAGCACATTTGTCGTGCGTTCGTGTTTCGAGCCTATCACAGCATTTAATACTATTGTAAAAGTCTGTAACAGAAAATCAAAATTTCTTATCCCAACTAAAAAAAAAAGTCACAGAAAAATATAAAGTCCCAAAAGAGAAAACGTCAGACAAAAACATGCAGCTCACGGTTGAATTTAACCCCCGGCCCCCTATATAAAAATCCGCCCCCAGAGTTACACTACTCTCCGCGCACATTAGCATAAACCGCCGTAAGAGATAACCAGAAGACGACGACGACGAAACACAAACGTCACGTGGTTAAAATTGAGCTAGCGTGTCGTCACCGGCGCACAATAGCTACCTTCCCCGCCATTAATTTTAACTGTTTTAAGTTTAAGCAATTGGTTCAATTTTTTTTTGTTGCCTTTTCCTCTCTGTTTATAAATATTGGACACAAAATCCAGAACTGGGGAAAAGGAATTATTTGCCACTGTAATTTGGGGGAGGAAAAATGAGAGGCGGCGATACAATGGCGGCGGTGGGGTTTGGTTTAATTCTGCTATTGGCTGTAACGACGCCGTTTTGCTTTGCCGCCAATGTGACGTACGATCACCGGGCACTGGTTATCGACGGAAAGCGACGTGTTCTAGTTTCTGGTTCAATTCATTACCCTCGGAGCACACCTGAAGTCAGTATTTCTACACATATTTCACATTTATACATACAACTTTTTGTATTTAAATGTGTTATTTTATTTTTTTTATTTTTTTTTTTTGAATGTGAAAAATTAGATGTGGCCGGATTTGATACAGAAATCCAAGGACGGAGGATTGGATGTGATAGAAACTTATGTTTTCTGGAATTTGCACGAACCAATTCAGGGACAGGTTATTTTGTTTTTTTATTTTTTATTTTTAATTAATTTTTTTTATAATTAATTTTGTTTTTTTTAGTGTTTATTTTCTTAATATTACTATCCTTTACTTGAATGTTTGGATTGTTTGTTTATGGGGGAATGGGGAAAGTAAAGTAGAAAAAAAGCATATTCCCTTTTTAGCCTTTTTCCATTTTCTTGTTCCTAAATGTCAAGAACTTTTTTGGGCACATTTTTTAATTGATTCCTACGTTATTAATCATTGTTGTTTAGATTCATTATTATTATTATTATTATTATTATTATTATTATTATTATTATTATTATTATTATTATTATTATTATTATTATTTATTTTTATTTTAATGTGTGAAAGAAGTCAATTTGAAAAAGAACATTAGTAAAGAAAGTTATGCTGAAACACGAAAGGCAAATTTGTTTTGCAGTATGATTTTAAAGGAGGGAAAGATTTGGTGAAATTCGTGAAGTTGGTTAAGGAAGCCGGTCTTTTGGTTCATCTTCGTATCGGTCCTTATGTTTGCGCTGAATGGAATTACGGGTAACAATTCATCGTTTTTCTTAAATAATTTTTTAAATCACAATTTTTATACGAAAGGGTTCTCGATTTTTTTGAGCAGTGGATTTCCTCTCTGGCTGCATTATATACCCGGAATTGTCCTTCGAACCGATAACGAACCCTTCAAGGTAACTACTCGACTACTCCTTTTTTTTTTTTTTTTTTTGTCGTTAATTATTAGCTATTTTTCGTGATAAAAATCAATATAAGAGAAATATTTTTTCAGGCTGAAATGAAGAAATTTACGGCCAAAATTGTCGAAATGATGAAGCAAGAAAATCTATACGCATCTCAAGGGGGGCCAATAATTTTATCTCAGGTTACAATTAAATGCATAACATTGGTTAAATGTTTCAAATTACCATAACTTGCAATCTTGTTTTAGCTATAATAAGAACTATAATAACTCAAATATATTTTTTTTAATTTAAATTAATTCCAGATAGAAAATGAGTACGGAAATATCGATTCTGCGTACGGTAACGGTGCCAAACCATACATAAACTGGGCTGCATCAATGGCCACGTCATTAGATACAGGTGTGCCGTGGGTGATGTGTCAGCAAAGCGATGCTCCTAGCTCTGTTGTAAGAAAAAATCTCTCTTATTTATTTTTAGCAATTTCAAAAAAATCAATTATTATTATCCGACTTATATTCGTCATTTCGAATAATTACAGATCAACACTTGCAACGGGTTTTATTGCGACCAATTCACCCCGAATTCTAAAAACAGCCCGAAAATGTGGACCGAGAACTGGAGTGGATGGTTAGTTAGAACATCATTTTTTTTTATATAAATTCAATAATTAGATACTCTGTTTTTTTGTTAATTGCTTATGTATTTTATTTAATTTTCATCAGGTTCTCGGCTTTCGGCGATTCTTTACCATACAGACCTACGGAAGATCTTGCTTTTGCTGTGGCGCGTTTTTACCAGCTCGGCGGAACCTTCCAGAACTATTACATGGTACCTTCATATAATCATAAAAAAAAAATCATTTACAATATATAAATAACTTGTCACACGAACTTTAATTTATTGCGTTTTTTGACAGTACCACGGTGGAACTAACTTCGGACGTAGTTCGGGTGGACCTTTCATTACAACAAGCTACGATTACGATGCTCCGATTGACGAGTATGGTATGTCATTTATTTATTTATTATCCTTAGATTATCACATTTTTTTTTATTTTGTACATTAATTATTTCTTATGATATTTAATTTATTTTTTTTAATGTTTTTTTAAGGCCTTTTAAGGCAGCCGAAATGGGGTCACTTGAAAGATGTACACAAGGCTATAAAACTTTGTGAAGAGGCAATGGTGGAAACCGATCCGAAAACCACTTCCCTCGGTTCGAATTTAGAGGTATACCGTATTTTCGTTATAATTGACTAATTACTCTGCATGCGAATTTTCCGAAGATTTATTAAACGAGTTTTTTTCCTCTGTCTCAGGCGACTGTTTATAAAACAGAATCAGGAAAATGTGCTGCTTTTCTTGCAAATGTCGGCACGCATTCCGATGCAACTGTGAAATTCAACGGCAATTCTTACAACTTGCCGGCTTGGTCTGTCAGCATCTTACCTGACTGCAACAACGTCGTCCTCAATACCGCGAAAGTACGACGCATCACAAAATTTTGAATTATTAAATCATCATTAAGTTCGAGTTTATATTCCGATTAAAAAAAAAAACTAATTTATTGGTAAAAAAAATGACAGATTAACTCTGTTTCCACCACTACGAAATTTGTTCGTCAAACTTCGAAAGATTCCACTACAGCAACAACAGATGCATTTTCAAGCTGGAGTTGGATAAACGAGCCTGTCGGTATATCGAGCGATATTGCGTTTACAAAACCGGGATTAATGGAACAAATAAATACTACCGGTGATCTAAGTGACTATCTGTGGTATTCTCTGAGGTATATATAAAATTTTCCCACAAGTGCAATAATTTTATTCCGACACGGGTTTTAATTTTTAATATTTTCTCGAATTTTGTTTCAGCGTTGATACGAAAGGGAACGAGCCGTTTCTTGAAGATGGATCGGAGACGGTTCTTCACGTGAATTCTCTAGGCCATGCGCTTTACGCTTTTATCAATGGAGAACTCGTCGGTAAATTAAAACCAAATTTTTAAATATCTTATGAATTGAAATTATTACAAGAATATTCGACTAAAAATATTAAGCTACTTAGGGAGCGGGAAAGGACGAAACAGCAACCCTAAAGTGTCGATAGATGTACCGATAAGCCTCAAACCCGGGAAAAACAAGATTGATCTTTTGAGTTTGACAGTTGGATTACAGGTAAATTAGTTATAATTTATAAACTCTCTAAACAATTTTCTTTTTTTAATTAACTAATGCAAAGTTTTTTTTGTTTCAGAACTACGGAGCTTTCTTTGATAAAACGGGTGCGGGAATTACCGGTCCGGTACAGTTGAAAGGCTTAAAGAATGGATCTACTCTTGATCTTTCCTCTCAGCAATGGACTTATCAGGTAATTTCTGCTTAAATATACATATATATATATATATATATATATATATATATATATATATATATATATATATATATACATATATTTATAATGTATGTATATACAACTCAACGGAGAAACGGATGTGAAAGCAGGTTGGTTTGAGTGGAGAAGACTTAGGACTGTCGAGCGGAGGCACCTCGTTTTGGGTATCGCAACCTACTCTGCCTAAGAATCAACCATTGATGTGGTACAAGGTAGTAAACTTTATTACGGTTTATTGCATACGGAACCCCTATATTTTCTCTAATTAATCTCTCTCTCTCTCTCTCTCTCTCTCTCTCTCTCACACACACATCCAGACGACATTCGATGCACCTTCCGGAAGCAGCCCCGTGGCACTAGACTTCACGGGAATGGGGAAAGGTCAAGCATGGATAAACGGTCAAAGCATCGGCCGTTATTGGCCGACAAATATCGCTCCAAGTAGCGGTTGCACCGACTCATGCAATTACAGGGGAGCTTACAGTGACGGCAAATGCCGAAGAAATTGCGGAAAGCCATCTCAACACCTGTAAGAAATCTTACATTTTTTTTCCTTAAAAATCCAAAATATATTATTATTACTGTATATATATATATATATTCATCAAAATTTTAAACCATAAATTTCAGCTATCACGTACCACGTTCGTGGATGAAACCGAGCGGAAACATCCTAGTAGTGTTCGAAGAAGGTGGTGGAGATCCAACGCAGCTGTCTTTCGCCACAAGAGAGACGGAAAGTATATGCTCTCGTATTTCGCAGTCTCACCCGATTCCAATCGACACGTGGACTTCATCAAACAAAGAAACAAGAAAACATACAAAACCGACTCTCTCACTAAGCTGTCCATTTCCAAATCAAGTTATATCGAAAATCAAATTTGCCAGCTTCGGAAACCCTAAAGGAACATGCGGAAGCTTTAGCCACGGTCAATGCAGCAGCAAAAACGCGCGAACCATAGTCGAGAAGGTTTTTTAATGATTCTGTTTACGGTATTATCTCCATTTTTTATATTATTACATTTTTTTAATGATGTCATAATAATTTTTTTTTGCAGGCTTGTATTGGTTCGAGAAGCTGCAGTATCGGAGTTTCGGTGAATACGTTCGGCGAGCCGTGTGCCGGAATAAGTAAAAGCTTAGCTGTTGAAGCTTCATGTTCATAGTGAAGTGTCTGTTGTTTGTAAAATCCAACCAATTAAGTTTGTTGGTATAAATAAATAATTACAGAAATAATTAAAAGGTTTCATAGTTTGTCAATTGCCAATTTACATGACAGACTGTGGTGCTGAAAGAAAAATGGAGGAAATAAATTAATATGTTATCTATTGTCAATTATATATTGGAGATATTAATATTAAATGATACATTTCACTAAAAGCTTAAACTTTTGGTTGAGATGTTCATTCAACATGGTATCAGAGCCAGGCCAAATGAAAGGTCCTGAGTTCGAATCCCACAGCCACCCATTTAAAAATATTTCAAGTGCAAGGCTTCAAATGTAATTCGCCTGCACTTGAGGGGGCGTATTGGAGATATTAATATTAAATGATACATTTCACTAAAAACTTAAGCTTTTGGTTGAGATGGTCATTCAACATTATATGCATGATAAAATGTCAAATTACGAAAATAACCCTCATATTTAGATAATTACAACCACCTCCCTCAACTATGAATTTTCTTACACGTCCACCTCTGCGGTGTCAAATTTAGTGGAATTTTCTAGATTATGTGGAATATTCTCTAATTTGTCCGTTTTACCCCGTTCGAGCTACATATTTTCAAACAAGATGATCATAAGATGTGACTCTTGGATTGTAAATATCAGTTTATGGTGCATTAATAACTACATTTTTGCACAAAACGAGTACAAACTAGAGAACATTCTACAGAATTTAGAAGATGATCGGTTGAATTTGACACCATAATGGTGGACATGTAAAAAGATTAATAGTTGAGGGGTGATTGTAATTACCCAAATATGAGAGGGGTTTTCGTAATTTAACCTTACCTCAAAGGTTGACCCTAATTTATCCAAAAAAGATAGTCACAACCACAAAAAAAATTAGTACATTTTGCATGTTAATAGGTGGAATTGAAGCTGACCCAAAAAGTACGAACACTTGCCTCCTCATTCATGCTTGCAAAACGGATATACCATTATTAGAAAAATAAAGACCTCATCTTTAGAGAAAATAATAACTCTATAAAATCCAAGAAACCAACACATCAATTTTTCTCACACTAGAGAGATGATTCAACTAACTCAATAAAGTAGGAAAACAACAACAACAAATTAGAAAAAAAAAATTAAAAAACTAAAAAAAAAAAAAAACAATTATTTATCTAGCTTAGATCCCAAAAAAAAAATATAATAATTAAAAAAAAGATGGAAAGCAGAACTCAAGTAATAGTGATTTTCCTTTTTGTGGCTATGGCCTCGTTTTCGCATGCAGCTGTGAATGTGACCTACGACGGTCGAGCTCTCGCAATTGATGGCAGGCGTAGAGTTTTAGTCTCCGGTTCCATTCATTATCCGCGTAGCACTCCCGAGGTTAGTGTAGTGTGTGTATTTGTGTATATATACATATATATAGATTATAGATACAAGTTTTGTATGTATAGTTAATAATTGTGGTGTAATATTGCATGGACGCATGCATGCAGATGTGGCCGGATCTGATAAAGAAATCGAAAGATGGAGGGTTGGATATTATTGAGACCTACGTCTTTTGGGACATGCATGAACCAGTTCGAGGCCAGGTACGGTGGCCTTCTAGTAATAGTAATATACAAAATATATATTAAAAAAAATATATTATAATTATTAATTTTATGTAATTGGTAATTATTCTTGGCAGTTTGATTTTACTGGAAGAAAAGATTTGGTGAAGTTCATAAAATTGGTTGCTGATGCTGGCTTGTACCTTCATCTCCGTATCGGCCCTTACGTTTGCGCTGAATGGAACTATGGGTACATATATATATGTATGCATATATTCTTGATGTTAGAATTTTATACAACTTCTCTGTTTTCGATTCCAGAGGATTCCCTATTTGGTTGCATTCTATGCCCAATATCGAGCTTCGTACCGACAACGAACCATACAAGGTTGTCCCTTTTTTTTAATTAATTACTTCATTTTTTTAAAAATAAATTTGAGCGATTTATTTAATTATGTACGATTGTTATTTCTGTTTTTTTTAGGCTGAAATGGAGCGATTCACGACCAAGATTGTCGACATGATGAAGCAAAACAATCTCTATGCTTCACAAGGGGGACCAATTATTTTGTCACAAGTAATTAATATAATATACTAATTAATATATAGTACTATTTGGTTAATATATATGATTAATGAGAGTTTAATGACAGATCGAAAACGAGTACGGAAACGTCGAATCATCGTATGGTGAGAGAGCCAAGCCTTACATAGATTGGGCTGCACAAATGGCTACTTCTTTGAACATTGGTGTTCCATGGGTCATGTGCCAGCAAGGCGATGCCCCCGATCCAATGGTAATTCTCTTTTTTTTTTTTTTAATATATATTTACGTTCGTCGCCGATAAAATGCATAATTATTTTGAATTTTTGGCAGATAAACACTTGCAATGGATTTTATTGTGACCAATTCACACCGAATTCCGATCAGAAGCCGAAGTTTTGGACAGAGCTCTGGAGTGGATGGTGACACTCATTACTATATATCATACTAATTAATTTTCCGTTTGCGATGAATATGTTAATTGTTATAATTAGTTTATGTAAATATCTGATTTATGTTTATGTTGAAAAAAAAATATCAGGTTTACGTCGTGGGGCGATCCTGTGCCCTACAGACCAGCGGAAGACGTTGCGTTCGCTGTGGCCCGATTTTACCAGAACAACGGAACCTTAATGAACTATTACATGGTATATATATATATATATATATATATATATATATATATATATATATATATATATATATATATATAGTACTTTTAATGCTCACTACTTAAGGTTTAATTTTATAATTATAAGATTGTTGAAATTTTGTAATGAATAAATTATTTGTTTTGTTTCACTTTCGTATATTAGTACCACGGTGGGACGAACTTCGGGCGGACTTCTGGCGGACCATTTATCTCTACAAGCTACGATTACGATGCTCCGATTGATGAGTATGGTATGTCAATTTTTTAAAATTGTTTCTTTAAGAAATTCATATAGTTCGTTATTTAATTAGATTTCGAAGGATTTTAATTAAGGTCGATTTCGGTCGGTGTTTTAGGTCTTCTTAGGCAGCCTAAGTGGGGCCACTTGAAAGATCTACACAAGGCTATAAAACTTTGTGAAGAAGCAATGGTGGCTGCTTTTGGTAATACTACTAGTCTTGGCCAGAATTTAGAGGTAAAATTAAAATTTAAAATAAATAAAAAATCAACTTTTGATCGAATGATAATTTTTCGTTTGATTATATATTTTTCGAATTCAGGTTACCGTTTATCAATCAGAATCAGGGTCGTGTGCTGCTTTTCTAGCAAATCTTGATAACCAATTAGATACAACGGTCAACTTCAACGGCAATTCGTTTGACTTGCCCGCTTGGTCCGTTAGCATCTTGCCCGATTGCAAGAACGTAGTATACAATACCGCAAAGGTGTAATTTTATTCGTAACCCTTAATAATATTTGGTCTCGATTTCTCATTATTTTGAATTAAAAGACAACCTTTATTTAATTTTTAATAATTATTATTTTTTTTTTCTGAAACGACAGGTCAATTCTATAACGGGAATCTCAAAGTTCGTTAAACAACTTGCTCAAACTAATTCTTCCGGTAACGGTGCAACGTTTTCGAGTTGGAGTTGGTATAGTGAACCCGTAGGAATATCGAGTAGCAATGCTTTCGTGTTACCTGGTTTGTTGGAGCAAATCAATACTACTGCTGATAGAAGTGACTACTTGTGGTATTCTTTAAGGTATATATATTTAATTAAATTTCAATATATAAGCAAAAAAAATAATTAATTGCAAAATAGCCCGTACATCTGTGAATTATGACCAAATAGGTCCTAGGTGCAAGATGTTTACGAGCAGACTGACTCGTCATTATTATTGTTTTTTTGTGCAGCATGGGTCTAAACGACAACGACCCGTTACTTCGAGACGGATCGCAGATTGTACTTCATATCGACTCACTCGGACATGTTCTTTACACTTTTATCAACGGAAAACTTGCGGGTGACATATATAAGATAATAAATTAAAGAAAAAACATTATTTCGTATTTATTAGTTATTACTATATTCTTGAATTTTTGTTTTTTTTAAATACACAAAAACCGCGTGCAGGAAGTGGAAAAGGTAGCGCGAAAAACAGTAATGTATCGATTGAGGTTCCTGTAAACCTTGAACCGGGAAACAATACCATAGATCTTTTGAGTGTCACTGTTGGCTTAAAGGTTCAACCTTTTTATATAACAACTAATTTAATTATTATTTTTCTAACGCTGATAATTAATTAATTAATTAATTAATTAATCCAGAATTATGGAGCATTCTTCGATGAAGCCGGAGCCGGAATTTGTGGTCCGGTTCAGTTGAAAGGTTTGAGTAATGGGTCGACCGTTGATCTCTCCGGTGAACAGTGGACATATCAGGTCATAATTAATTTTTTCAGGTCTATTTACGAAAAAACTCTCGTGTTTCTATAATTACATCCACCCCAACAATTTGTCGATTTTTTACATTAACACCCTTTTGTAGGGGGTTGGATGTAAGAAATTTACAAACTTCAGTTGCTGGATGTGATTTCTAAAAAATAAGGGTTTTTTTTTGTAATTACACTTTAATTTAGGGAGGTGGTTGTAATTTACCCAAGATTAAATTAATTTGCAATATATATATAAATATATATTTGAGCAGGTTGGCCTAAAAGGGGAACAATCAGAGCTATCTAGTGGAAGTTCTGCATTATGGCTGTCCGAGCCTACTCTTCCTAAAAACACGCCGTTAACATGGTACAAGGTAATAATGTATTATTGTATTTATTTATTTTATTAATTTTTTAATTATTATTATTATTATTTTTTTTTTCTGTTGACCAGACAACATTTTCGGCACCAGCTGGAAATAGTCCAGTTGCAATAGATTTCACCGGAATGGGAAAGGGTCACGCCTGGGTTAACGGCCAAGGGATCGGCCGTTATTGGCCGTCAAATATTGTTGACCCGAACGGCTATTGCACCACGTGTAATTACAGGGGTACTTATGACCAAAACAAATGTCTCGCCAATTGTGGAAAGCCAAGTCAGCAGCAGTAAGTCCTAATTAAAATTTCTTATGGGGTTTATTATTAAAAAAAAAAACCCATATTATTTTATTAGCAAAAATCCCACCACAATTCACTTTATTTTAGCAATTTGATATAATCTCTAATGATGGTTACAACTTACATACATTATTATGTAAATTGTTATAACAAAGAGGGAATCTTTAATTTACAGAAACCACGTTCCTCGTTCGTGGCTTAAGCAAGGGGAGAATGTGCTGGTATTGCTGGAGGAAGTAGGCGGCGATCCGACGATGATATCTTTTGTGACAAGAGAAGTGGCGACCGTTTGCTCGAAAGTGTCGGAATCTTACCCGCCCCCAATGGATTTGTGGTCCTCTAATTATCTGACACGTGTCATTAAACCGACACTATTACTAGAATGCCCCTCTCCATCACAAGTCATAAGTCAATTCCAATTTGTGAGCTTTGGGAATCCACATGGAGGATGTGGTGGGTTTACGCACGGCCGATGCAGGAGCAAACGTGCTCGACGCGTCGTCCATAAGGTTCTTTATTTTATTTTTAATTTTAATTTACGAACACTAATTGATAAAATCTTGGATTCGTCACTGATCGTGAAAACGTTAATAACACAGGCTTGCATGGGGAAACCAAAGTGCAGTATTGAAGTGACGGTTGAGAATTTAGGGAATCCTTGTGCAAATATTACCAAGAGTTTAGCTGTGGAAGCTTCTTGTAGTTAAAGATATTATGGTATTCGGATTTAATAGGGTAGCAATTAAGATAATTTTTTGTTACCTAAGAAATAAAGAATTTACAGCCAAATTTCATAAGGCTAAAGTTTTGTAGAATTAATTACTAGTGTAACTTTTGCGGAGGTGAAGTTTATTGATGATGCCACCCTGCTTCTTGTGTATGATTGTAAGTTGTACGTAACGATTTAATGTATATTTTGGATCTATATTATGTCTAGTTCGTTAAATACGAAGAATTTAATATACAACTGTTGGGCACTCGTCTGAACTCCAAGATATATATAAGAGATACATATATAATACCTAATATATTACATATATTCCTTACGGGATATGGAAATACAGAACAATATATATGAACGAAATGAACACAACCAGAGAAGCTATGAGTAGCATCACTTCAACAAATCAAGGGGCTTACGGGTCGCGTCAGTTTCTTTGGTCACATTTTTTTATCATCCAAAACCCATCGGCCGTGGCTCTAACAACACAATAAAGTGTCACCCAAAAACCCTATCCAGATCAGGTCAGAACCACTCAGTTTGCTCAACGCTCTCATCCATAACCCCCCAACCTCACCAGATTTGAAAAGATTTGAAAACTCTCTCTCTCTCTCTCTCTCTCTCTCTCTCTCTCTCTCTCTCTCTCTCTCTCTCTCGTGTTTCCCTCACTTAGAGGTTTATATATCTCACTCGTTCATCAAAGAACATACGTTTGAAACTTAGAAGAAATTCAAAATTGTGTGTGTATTCTATCTCTCTCTAAAACAGGTTACTATATATAGATGGAAAGGAGAAGTTGTCTCTAAAGCGGAGAACATATTCGATACAGTCATAGTTATGTTGAATAGGTAGAAGAGAGAAGAGACGAAATATCATAAAATATGGTTTGGGGAAGAGGTGGGGGTCAAATATCTTGAATGAGTGTTTGTACGTGGGATCAAATAAATGAAAATCAACGGTCAAGATTGAAGATCTAAACGGTTCTCGAAATTTAACCGATCACATGGGCCTTTTCACCGTTGGATATTGAGTTAATGGACTGGATATAAAATCCATTTAGGCCCAAAAATCCAAGAATATCAAGTTTGTAAAGCCTCATCAATTTTTTTACATTTAATAAGATGTAAATAATATTTGAATTCATTTCAAATAAGTAGGTTCAGTACGATAAGTGAAAGTTGTGCCAAAATAAAAAAAACGTCATCATCTTATATTTTTTTTTTTTAATGGAAATAATTAAAATCATCTTATATTGTGTGATTGACACAAACAATCAAAGCATCCAACCATAGAATGCACATGCATATCCAGTACTTCGAAAATAATTTGTACGCTTACCGTACCAAACTATTCGGTTCGGTTTTTTACCGAATTAATTCGATTGTTTCAGTTCGGTATCGGTAAAATCAAAATTATATTTTAATATTATAAAAAATGTAAAAAAAAAAAACATTTAAATAAATTAATTCTTGAATTTGACATATGCGTTAAAATTTCAATAATCAACCCTAATAACACAAACTGATTTTTAGTAGTGGCTAATTTGTAAATAATTGAAAAAAATATCAATCTATAATTATTTTATAATTTTTTTATAACCTTAAAGAATTTAGAATAAAACAAAAAAATAAATATTTATTAAATATTTTCGGTATTCGGTACGCTTCTGTATTCCGGACATCAATACGTATACCGTACCGAAAACCAGAATTCCAAAGAATATTTACCGAATATCGAGACGAATTTTCCGTTCAATATTCGACACTTGCCGAATTTTTGTTTTCTGTCAGTTTACCGGTGAAAATTTAAATTTATTCTAAAAGTATGCTATTAGTGACAAATTGCTATATAATAAAAATTGTTGCTTGCTTAAATTAATAATTAATAAATTGTAACAAGTGTTGTGACTTGTGAACTTATACTGTACAAAACATGAGAAATAAATGGGGAAATAATAACTTTTATTTGCAATTTATTTATATACAGATTATAAATTTGATGTACAAATTTTATTACATTGGCAAGCTGGAAAATGAACTAATTAACCACAGAAAGCTTCAACAGCTAAACTCTTTGTCACATTTTCACAGTTAGGGTCACCCAAATTCTCCACCGTCACATCGATACTGCATTTCGTTTTCCCCGTGCAAGCCTGTACGAAACGTAAAAAAAAAAAAAATCCATATAAAAAATCTCGATTTTTTGACAAAATACGTGATCGAAGAATATAAGGAAAAAAAAAATACCCTGTGTATAACGCGCCTAGCACGTTTGCTCCTGCATCGGCCGTGTGTGTAACCGCCACATCCTCCATGCGGATTTCCGAAGCTCACAAACTGTAGCCTTTTTATGACCTGTGATGGAGAAGGGCATTCTAGTAAAAGAGTCGGTTTCGTGACACGTGTCAAGTAGTTAGAGTCCCATAGATCCAGGGGTGCAGGGTAGTTTTCGGAGACTTTGCCACAGATGAGTCCTAGCTCTCTTGTGGCGAATGATATCATCGTCGGATCGCCTCCGATTTCCTCCAGCACCACCAAAGTGTTTCCGGTCGGCTTAAGCCACGATCGCGGCACGTGATATCTGCGATAGTATTTTATTAATATGTAAGAAAAAAAAATATACGCAAAATCGTGAATTAATATTTTACGACACGTACTGCTGCTGAGTTGGCTTTCCGCAGCCTTTAAGACATTTGTTGTTGGAGTATGATCCTCTGTAGTTGCATGTGTCCGCGCAGTTTCCGTTCGACGGAGCGACGTTGGCTGGCCAATAACGGCCGATCCCGTGTCCGTTAACCCATGCGTGCCCCTTTCCCATTCCCGTGAAGTCGATCGCAACGGGGCTATTGCCAGCTGGAGCAGAGAATGTTGTCTGATTTTTCAAGAAAATGTTCATCAATTAATTAATTCGATTAAAAAATAAACGAAAAGAAAACGGGAGTAGATATCGACGTATATTATTACCTTGTACCATGTTAGCGGTGTGTTCTTAGGAAGAGCAGGCTGGGAATCCCATTGTCCGGAAACTCCGTTAGATAGGCCTAATTGTTCGCCTTTCAGACCAACCTGTTTTTCGATATATTCCATAATCGATAAATAAGAATTAAATTAAATTAAATAAATAAATGCAATTATAGAAATTAAAATGACCTGATAAGTCCATTGTTGTGAGGAGAGATCAATGGTTGAGCCATTGGCTAAACCTTTGAACTGCACCGGACCGCCAATTCCAGCTGTGTACGTATCGAAGAATGCTCCGTAATTCTGGAATATTTTTGCATTGTTATGTAAGAAATCATAGTTCCAATAAAAAAACGAAAAAAGATTGTTATTGAAAATACGGTTACGAACCGATAGCCCGACGGTCAAACACAATAGATCAATGGTATTATTTCCTGGTTCCAAGTTCATCGGAACGTCCATCGAAAACTTGTTATTGCTGCTACTACCTTTTCCACTCCCTATAATACAAAATTCGATCATCGGTTGAAGTTCTGATTATTTGGGATTAAAGAAAGAAAAAATAATTATCGTTATTTCGAATAATTAACCTGCAAGATCGCCGTTGACGAAAGCGTAAAGTCCATGGCCAACGGAATCAAGATGAAGTAGTATCTGAGATCCTTCTTTAAGTAAAGGGTCGTTAGCGTTTAGATCGATACTGCACAAAATTCAAAAAAACACGTAAAAAAAAAAACCGATCGTATTTTATATACAATTGTCAACTTATACATATATGTACCTCAAAGAGTACCACAAGAAGTCACTTTTGTCAGCAGTAGTGTTAATCTGTTCAACCAAACCAGGTAAAACGAACGCTTCTTTGTTGAGTGAAATTCCGACAGGTTCCTTAAACCAACTCCAGCTCGAGAGGGATACAACCGATGAATTCGAACCGCTTTGTGATGTTTGTGGCACAAACTTTGTGAGGGCCGTTATAGCATTCACCTGTCGTCGTTTTAGTTTAAAAAAAAAAACGACGGTTAATAACAAATTAAGACAACGAAATTAAGGTTGTCGATTTAAGAGACGAATTAAATTACCTTAGCAGTATTGTACACTACATTCTTGCAGTCGGGTAATATGCTGACGGACCAAGCCGGCAAGTCGTAAGAATTGCCGTTGAAGGTCACCGTTGCGTCTAACTGCCAATCGAAATTGGCAAGAAACGCTGCACATTCGCCTGATTCAGCTCGATAAACAGTGACCTGTGAAATCGAATAAATTTATCATTCACACGAGTTTTCGAATTTAAGACATAATCGAAAAAAATGATTCGTTTTTTTTTTTTTACCTCCAAATTCTGGCCGAGACTAGTTGTATTACCGACAGTCGACACCATTGCCTCTTCACAGAGCTTTATAGCCTTGTGTAAATCTTTCAAGTGGCCCCACTTAGGCTGCCTAAGAAGACCTAAATCACAACAACAACAACAAAAAAAATTTATCGAAATTAGTATAATTTATTTTTTTCGGAAATATCGATGACGAATAATAATAGGGAAAAAGGCATATATACCATATTCATCGATCGGAGAATCATAATCGTAGCTAGTTGTGATGAAGGGCCCACCAGAAGTTCGGGCGAAGTTAGTTCCACCGTGGTACTGCATGCAACCAAATGTTGGTAACTTGGTATAAAAAGTCGAAAGTTCTTGTAATCGTATTTATAAATAAATAAAACACTAAAATTACAACATAAGACATACCATGTAATAGTTGAGCAAGGTTCCGTTGTTCTGGTAAAACCGCGCTGCCGCAAACGCAACGTCTTCGACCGGTCTGTACGGCACCGGATTTCCCCATGCAGAAAACCTAATGTTACAATACCAAATCATTAATAATTTAGTATAAAATAAAACAAATATGAAGAGATTAATTATTTTTATTACAACTATTTAAGTTTATTACCATCCACTCCAGAGTTCAGTCCAAAACTTCGGCTTCGAAGGCGAGTTAGGGGTGAATTGGTCACAGTAGAATCCATTGCAAGTGTTTATCTGCACGAGTAAACGAGCAATTCGAATCGTTACCTAAATAAATAAATAAATCGATCACATAATTAAAAGCAATTAGAAGTTAATTAATTAATAACCATGGGATCAGGGGCATTGTTCTGCTGGCACATAACCCACGGAACACCCGTGTTCATCGAGGTTGCCATTTGTGCAGCCCAATCAATGTAAGGCTTCGCACTCGAACCATACTGCCAGTCGATGTTTCCGTACTCGTTTTCGATCTGCATTCGTTAAATTCAATCAAACATTAATCAATCATTTTTTTTCGTTAGTTCGGAAATAAATGTTTAATTAAGTAAATCATATATACCTGAGACAAAACAATGGGACCTCCTTGCGATGCATACAGATTGTTCTGCTTCATCATGCCCACAATCTTGGCCGTAAATCGCTGCATTTCGGCCTACACGGAACACAATTTAAACATCATATATATATGAATTAATGCAGCTAAAATTTTATTATCAAGAATGATGTAAATTAATAATGAAAAATAGAAACCTTGTATACGTCATTGTCGGTACGAAGCTGAATACCGGGTAGAAAATGCAACCACAGAGGGAATCCACTGCGGTGATAAAAATATCGAGAAGCAAACCATTTTCGCATTAATGTGAATTATTTCAAGAACTAAAAATAAAATAAAAAATATATTTTTTAAGTGTTTTTAATTACCCATAGTTCCATTCGGCACAAACATAAGGACCGATACGAAGATGCAAGTATAAACCAGCTTCAGCAACCAACTTTACGAATTTCACCAAATCTTTTCTTTCGGTAAAATCGTACTGCCAAAATTTCATTTTATTGTTATCGTCGTCGTCGTCGTCATCATCATTATTATTATTATTTTAATTTAAAAAAAAAATTATATATATTTTTAAAACGAAAAACCTGGCCTCGAACTGGTTCATGCATATCCCAGAAAACGTAAGTCTCGATAATATCCAACCCTCCCTCTTTCGATTTCTTTATCAAATCCGGCCACATCTGCATGCATGCATGCAACGCAAATACAATTACATACAGAACCTTGTATCTATAGTCTAGATATATATAATTATATATATATATATATACTTACATCAGGAGTGCTACGTGGATAATGAATGGATCCGGAGACCAAAACCCTACGCTTGCCGTCGATCACCAACGCCCGCCCGTCGTAATCCACGCTCACAGCTGTACACAGCGATGCCGACGCCGCCAAAAGCAAAAACACCACCGCCGCCGCCCGGCTTCCGGCCATTATTCCCGATCAGAAGACAAAATTAAAAAGGTGCTTATTCTATTTACAGAATCTATTTATTTACAAAGAGCAACTTTTTTTTTTTGTCTTCTGATTTAATTTTTATTTATTATTTATTTTAATTAGGGGAAGCCCTAGGCCGGATCTAGGAATCCAGTGGTAGTGGTGGTGCTCTGAATAATGGAATTGGAATTCCGCCATTTATATAGCTTGAGAAGGATGGTGCGTTGGCTTTTGTGGAGTGGTTTTCTCTGAATATGTGGTGTGATCTTATTCTGCGGTATGTATCTGTTTTCCCAATTTCACCGGCGCCATGAAAATTGCTTGCCTCTTATTTAAATTTGGGTAAATTACAACCACACCCCTGATTTATAGTCAAATTACGAAAAAATCATTTTTGTTTGAATAATTACAACCACTCATTAACTATAAATCTTTTTACACGTTCATTCTTGCGGTGTCAAAATTATTGGAATCTGCTAGATTATATGGAATATTCCCAGCTCCGCATTTTATGAAGCAAGGTGATCATAAAATGTGTTTTTTGATTGTAAATATCAGATTGTGATGCATCAGAAACTATATTATTGCACAAAACGAGTACAAACTAGAGAACATTCCACGGAATTTAGAAGATTATGTTGAATTTAACACCATAAGTGTGGACGTGTAAGAAAATTCATAATTGAGAGGTCATTTGTAATTATCTAAACATGAGGAATTTTTTTTGTAATTTACTCTTTAAAGTTAGAAAAAAAATAAAGGGCCTTTTGTATTGAATTACTAAATACTCTTATATTAAGTTGGATTTGATCAAGTAAATGATAGACATTCATATATAAATAAGAATTATGAATTATGATTAATCAAATATATATGATTGGGAGATTTGAAATAAAGAGAGGAATTTCTACAATTTACCTATTTCTTTTGAGTAATGAAAAAACCAGCAGAGCTAACTATATCGGTGCACTGGCCGGTAAATTTAAACTCTCGTATAATAGCTAGTAAATCATATAAGAGACATAAATGACAATAGGCTAACTATATGTGACAGACTCCAACTAGCGATCGTCAGCAAGGGACTTTGAATTTGGATCAATCACCGTAAATTCATTTGCTACAACCATTAGATCATTTCTTAACAATGTAATTTACTATGTAATTTGAAGAGATGAATTGTGGAAGTTAATTTACTTATTAAATAAGGGAAAATTGGCCACCAACACAAGTTTTTAAGGACCATATTCTTCTTTTTTCTTTTGCTATAGAACACAAACAAAGATGAACAACTCACAAAATCACATGCACACACTCACACACACACACACACACACACACACACACACACACACACACACACACACACACACACACACAACACACACTAATACGTGTAACATGCACACACAACTCGCGAGTCACACGCACAAATTTCAAACTTTTGTGTGTGTGTGTGTGTTGGGGTGTTTATGTGTGTGAGTTTATGAAGCTGGCTGCCTAAATGCCATGATCTTCATCAACAATATTTTTTTTTAATTATTTATTTATTTTTCGTACTTAGTTATATTTGCTTGCATGCATGCTTGATTTTTCTATTCACTAATCACTACCATTGGTATATAAGCTTTAAATTATATATAGGTTTCATTATTCTAATATCTTTTGCATGGATCAACCATTACAAAACAATACGATTAATTAAAATTTGTGTTACTCGAATTCAAAATATAGTATTCGGATTAATTATTTGTGTATTTAGTAATACTTTTTTATTACTACTAATTAATTACCTGTGCTGGCAATTTGACCTCTTAATTAATCTCACTTAACCATATTAATATCTTCAAAATGAGAGGGTAAGCTATTTTCATGGCGCCGGTGAAAATTCGGAAACAGATATGTACCGTAGATTCAAATTCAGTGTACAAAAGTCAACGCATCATCTTCTCAAGCTATATATTAATGGCGGAAACCCCAATTCAATTTTTTCGGAGCACCACTACCAGTGGATTCCTAGATCTGCCCTAGGGCTCGCAGCTCAAAAAAAAAAAAAATAGTTGCTCTCTGTAAATAAATGATTCCTGTAAATAGAAGGAAATAAGCGAAAAAAAAAAAAATCTTTCTGTTTTTCCGATTGAAAATGGCCGGAATCCCGACGGCGGCGGTGGTGTTTTTGCTTTTGGCGGCTGCGGCCTCGCTGTGTACTCGTACGATGGACGGGCGCTAATTATCGACGGCAAGCGTAGGGTTTTGGTCTCCGGATCCATTCATTATCCACGAAGCACTCCACGAAGCACTCCCGGTGTTAGTACGTCGATTACGATTGTGCGTATAGATTATAGATACAAGTTTGTGTATCTAATTGTGTGAAAATATTGCATGCAGATGTGGCCGGGTTTGATAAAGAAATCGAAAGAGGGAGGATTGGATATTATCGAGACTTACGTTTTCTGGGACCTGCATGAACCAGTTCGAGGCCAGGTTTTCGATTTTTTTTCGTTTAAAAAAAATAAAAAACTATAAATTAATTAATAGTTATAATTATTATTTTGTTGATTTTTTTCTTGGCAGTATAATTTTACTGGACGAAACGATTTGGTGAAATTCATCAAGCTGATCGGTAAAGCCGGTTTATACGTTCATCTTCGTATCGGTCCTTACGTTTGTGCTGAATGGAACTATGGGTAATTATCACTCAAAAATATTCATTTTTTTCTTTTTAATTCTTTCGCATTAATCGTAATTAGTCTTACTAAACGCTATAATGGTTTGCTTCTCGGTTTTAATTCACCGCAGTGGATTCCCTCTGTGGTTGCATTTTCTACCCGGTATTGAGCTTCGCACTAACAATGACGTATTCAAGGTTTCTCTTCTTACTTATTAATAATTACGATTCGATTCTCGATAATAATTTTTAGCTGCCTTTTTAATTTATGTTCGGTATCGTATTGCAGTCTGAAATGCAGCGATTTACGTCTAGGGTTGTGAACCTGATGAAGATGAACAATCTGTTTGCATCACAAGGAGGCCCCATTATTTTGTCTCAGGTATAAATAATTTAAGTTAAATTAACCATGTTTTTTTAATCTCTTACAAATTAATGATTTTTTTATTTTTTGTGAATATAATGTAAGATCGAAAACGAGTACGGAAATGTGGAGTCGAAATATGGTGACGGTGCGAAACCTTACATCGAGTGGGCCGCAGAAATGGCAACCTCGATGGAGACAGACGTCCCGTGGGTAATGTGTCAGCAAGACGATGCGCCCTATTCAATGGTAACAATTATATTATTCTTGCTTTTTATATGTCTCTTTCAAACGAATGGTTTTTGATGTAGATACAACGTTATTTCTCGTTTATTCGCGCAGATAAACACGTGCAATGGATTCTACTGTGACAAATTCACTCCTAATTCCCCTGATAAGCCCAAGTTTTTCACCGAACTCTGGAGTGGATGGTAATAAACACTAATAATATGTTTTCGTAATTTTTTCGTATGTTTTTTATACTAATTATAAATGCCTTCATGATATAAAACATTAGGTTTTCCGCATGGGGACTTCCGGTGCCGTACAGACCGGTAGAAGACGTTGCTTTAGCTGCAGCGCGGTTTTTCCAGAACAACGGAACATTGCTCAACTATTACATGGTACTTTATAATTACAATTTTTTCCGTTTTCTTTTTAAATAAGATCATCGGAACTTTCGACTTTTTTATTTCAGTACCATGGTGGGACTAACTTCGGACGGACTTCTGGTGGACCGTTCATCACAACTAGCTACGACTATGATTCTCCTATGGATGAATATGGTATATATATACAGTTGAACCTCTATAAATTAATACAGTCGGGACTAGGAAAATTCTATTAATTTAGCGAATTATTAAATTATCAAGTATTAATTTATCGATTTTCTATTGCGATTTAGGTCTTCCTCGACAGCCGAAGTGGGGTCACTTGAAAGATTTACACAAGGCTATAAAGCTCTGTGAATATGCAATGGTGGAAACTGTTGGTGTTACCACTAGTGTTGGCACTAATTTGGAGGTTAAAAAAAAATCGATTTATCAATTCAATTCGAGCTCGTATATATTCTTGCGAACGATGATTTTTTACGGTTTATTTTTTGTTTTCCGATTATTTTCACAGACAACCGTTTATCAGTTAGAATCAGGGGCATGTGCTGCTTTTCTTGCCAATTTGGATACTCAGTCGAACGCAAAGATTTATTTCAACGGGAATTACCACGACGTACCGGCTTGGTCCGTCAGCATATTACCCGACTGCAAGAATGTAGTGTACAACACTGCGAAGGTAAATTTAAATTCGTCTCGTGGTATCGACAATCTTGATTTTTTTTTTGTTGTACGTCTTACGAAGTTATTAAGTATTTTCGTTTATTTTAAATTTTTTTGTCGTTGCTAAAACGACAGGTGAATGCTATAACAGCCTTCACAAAGTTCGTGCCACGAACTACGTTGAATTGGAGCTGGAGCTGGTTTAAGGAGCCCGTCGGAATTTCTCTCACCGGTGACGCTTTTGTGCAGCCTTCGTTGGCAGAGCAGATTGGCGTTACCGGTGACAGAAGTGACTTCTTGTGGTACTCTTTAAGGTATACAATACGGTTAAACCTCTATAAATCAATACAGTCGGGATCAGGAAAATTCTATTAATTTAGCGAATTATTAATCGAGTTAATAATTTAACACGTTTTCACCAAATGGGGACAAAGAGAAACTATTATTTAATCGAGGTTCTACTGTATTTATTTATATATAAAATTTGACAAATTTATATATATACTATAATTTTATTTTATTTAATTTTTTTTGGGTATGTGCAGGAGCTTAAATCTCGATGCTAACGACCCTCTGGTTAACGAAGCGTCTACGGTGCAACTTCACGTCGATTCCGTTAGGCATGGACTGTACGCGTTTGTCAATGGGAAGCTTGCAGGTTTTTTCGTAATTAAAACGATAATTTTATTTATCTATTTTTCGACAATGAGTTAGTTATAATCTTGAATTTTTTTTTTAAAAAAATTATAGGTGGTGGAAGAAGTGATAGCATCGGTAGCAGGTTCGCGACCGACGTTCCTCTGAACAACTTGAAACCAGGCAAAAACAACATCGATTTATTGTGTTTCACCGTGGGGCTATCGGTTCGTCGTTGATCACACATTTATTCAACCATCTTTATTTTTCGGAATTATTGTTTCGTAATAATACAAATCAATTGTCGAAAATCCAGAACTACGGAGCATTCTTCGATCAAATACCGGCAGGAATCCAAGGGCCGGTTCAGATCAATGGTTTAAGCAATGGTTCATCAACTATTGAACTCTCCAAAGTACCATGGACTTATCAGGTCATTTAAAGTTCTTTTTCATTAAATTTTTTTAATTATTTTAATTTATTTATTTATTTTTATTTTCTAATTATGGAATTTATATAACTAAGCAGATTGGTCTGAAAGGAGAACAATTAGGCCTATCGAACGGAGGTTCCGAATATTGGGTGTCCGAGCCTGCGTTTCCGAAGAACACTCCGTTAACATGGTACAAGGTAATATATTTCGATCATCCATGCCTATTCCATATTTTTTTTTACCGAAATAAAAATCGTAAATTTCCAAAATATGGAAAAATCGAAATGAAATTTTAAATGTCTGCATTTTTCGGAATCAAATTCGACTTTTTCACTTCCAATTTTTTTTTAATTAATTTGCAATTAAAATTTTGTTCTTGAAAAAAAAATGGGATTTCAGAAATAAAAATCGTAAACTTCCAAAATATGGAAAAATCGAAATGAATTTTTTTAATTTCTGCATTTTTCGTAATCACATTCAATTTTTCATTTCCGATTTTATGTAAATTTGCAATTAAAATTTTGTTCTTGAAAAAAATCGAATTCCATAAATATTTTTCATTTTTTACAAAAAAAAAAATCGTAAATTAACATAATATGGAAATCGAAACTGAAATGTTAAATATCGTTTCAATTTTACTAATGTCGTTTTGACTTCGAACCTGATTTTGACATATTTCTATTTTGATTTTGGCAAAATTCGAAGCACGAAAACTGTAGTCATTTGGGTTAGTTTTCTAATTCAACTTAAATCCGCTAGATTGGATGCCGTGTGACAAAATTATGCATGAATGAGTCACATTTTAAAGTTTTGATACCTCAATACATCAAAGTTGTGGCCAATATCCATTGATTCATGTATATATTTCTCGTCCGACATCCAATTTTGGTGATTCTAGTTGGATTAAAAAACTAACTTGGAATACTACAGATCTTATTTTTCGAGTTTTTGCAAATTTTGTTGACCAGACACAATTTTCGGCTCCAGCTGGAAATAGTCCAGTAGCAATAGACTTCACAGGAATGGGAAAAGGGCAGGCTTGGATTAACGGTAACGGAATCGGCCGTTACTGGCCAGCTTACGTGTCACCTCCAGAAGGCAAGTGCACAGACAACTGCGACTACAGAGGAGAATATTCCCAGGACAAATGTCTCAAAGGCTGTGGAAAGCCAGCTCAGCAGCAGTACGTGTCAATTAACATTTCTAATATTATAATTTTTTTTTTATCTTTTTTCTTTAAATAAATAAATATTATTGCAGATATCACGTGCCACGCTCGTGGCTCAAACCAACCGGAAACACTCTGGTGGTGCTGGAGGAAATCGGAGGCGATCCGACAATGATATCCATCGCCACAAGGGAGATAGGGCTCATCTGTGGCGCAGTCTCGGAATCTTACCCTGCACCCCTGGATTTGTGGGACTCTAATTATCTGACACGTGTCACCAAACCGACGCTTTTACTGGAATGCCCTTACCAATCACAGGTGATTAAGGAACTCCAGTTTGTCGGCTACGGAAATCCGCAGGGTAAATGTGGAAGTTTCACACAAGGTCAATGCAGGAGCAACCGGGCTACGACCGTTGTTAATAAGGTATTTAATCTTTTTTAATTTTTTCTTAATCGTGTTGTATTAATTATTAATTATTAATTATTAATTATATTAAAATATTATTATTTCTATTACAGTATTGCATGGGAAAACAAAAATGCAGCATTGAAATGACTCTGGAGAATTTGGGTGATCCTTGTCCAGATATTTACAAGACTTTAGCTGTGGAAGCTTTTTGTGGTTGATACTTAGATTATTTATATCAGGTGGATTTCGACAGTAGATTTGATTAAATAATTATCTATTAAGCATAGATACACATAATTGTGTGTGATTTTATGCGTAGATCTACGATTGAAATTCATCCAACGTCAATGACCGGTTGTAGCTTCTAATTACCCCTAAATTTGTGGGTCAATGTAAAAATATGTACATAATTTTTGTATTATAGAATTTATTGTAATTAGTACCATTGTGTCAACATTGAATTGCTAAACCTACCACCATATATTATCTTATTTGCACAAAAACCCCTTATAATTCAATTTGTTCTAGCACACAACCCCTAAACAAGAGTACCAATTGCAAAAATAAATTAAATCCTATGGTAGATTTTGCAAATGAAATAACATGGGCAGTTCTTTAGCAATTCTATATAACATACTGGTACAATTTGGAATAAACTCTTTTTTGCATATAAAGATGGGTAAATCACAACTACATCCCCTGAAGTAAAGTCTATTACAAAAAATCCCTCATATTTGAGAAATTACATCTAATCACTGCAGTTTGCAAATTTCTTACATCCACCCTACAAAAGGGTGTTAATGTAAGAAATTTACAAATTCAAGGGAGATGGATGTAATTATGTAAAAAAATAGGGAATTTTTTTTACCGTATAAAGATTTCCAAAGTTTATAATATTCCAAAGTTTCTAACTGATTTTATATAAAGTACGTCATAAATATAAGCCAGATTAAAATATAAATACAAATGATATTAAATTACATGAGAAACCAAATAATATAACATAAAATAAAATATTTGCCCCAAAATAAAATTCAAAACATAATTAACAGCTCAATTATATGTTACGTAATATATATAATATAATTTAATATTCGAAATTCACCTTAATTAGGCAAATATAGGCGTATCCTAATTACAATGCAATTCTGCCTTTATTAAATTATTATTTATGGTAAATATACATAAAACCTCTAGTTCTAATGTGATTCTGTTTAGATTATATGAAACCTAGCTTGAATCTATCTCTCTGTCTATATATACGTATATGTCGATGTATATATTATAAATAAATATTCATACTACGTACACAGATTGAAGAAGGCTCTAGATAAATTAATTAGAGAGCAAGTAATTGTAAGATGATTAATAATATTGATAATGATGATGATGGGGTGGACAAGATCAGCCAGCTGCCGGACGATATTCTCGTATCGATAATCTCATGGCTACCGGTGGCCGAAGCTGTGTGCACGAGCGTCCTATCCACACGTTGGCGGGAGCTCCACAGGTACATCACCCGCCTCGATTTTTCTCCAACCTCCAAACAACTACGAGCGTTTAAAGATCAAGAAGAGGAGCGCAGCCGCAAAAAAGGTATTTCTCTCTCTCTCTCTCTATGCCTCTGATACACAGAAAAAACCCTGATACATAATTATTTAATTAAGCAAGAAAACATGCATAGGTCTTTAATCCCTTAATTATAATTTAAACTTCACATACATAATAATAATTTAATTCAAAAGGCTGCCGCCAACTCCAAGAAAGTCTATAAACGGCGGTGCGGTTCTTTCCTCTGCAGTTCCTACTACAATTAATGCCTGCAGTTGAAACTTGCTGCCTGCTGGGTGACGACCACGCTGTGAATATTTCTGAATAATAATAATTAGGGAAATCATTATTATTATTAACACAAAAAAAAAAAAAATACGGATGACCTACTTAAAAAATTAAATAATTTCTAAGATTTTGACTCTAACCTGGAAATAAACTAAGATATGTCTGTGGTGCCCATAAAGGTGATGATCGAGTATTCGATGAGGAGGTCGAAAGAAGTTGCGCTAGCATAATCGATCGCACATTGGACTCACTCAAGGGAGGTGCGGCTCTAGAAGAAATTCGACTCTACTTACCTTGGTTCCAGATAAGCACGTGGTCGGACGACGAGACGACATGGCCAATCGAGAGGTGGCTCGATTTCGCGCTTTCCAAAAAATTCGTCCGAACCGTCCACCTACACTTAAATTCCGTTCACGCATCGGCCCGTTTCCCCTTTCCTCCTTGTAATTTCGAAAGAAACTTACCGGCCTTCAAATCACTAAAAGAACTATCTCTACAAGGCGTTGTTTTCGACGACGAGGGTTTGAGGCTACTGCTTTCGAATTCCGTCGCTCTCGAGCGCCTCTCGATTTCGCGTAACGATGCATTAAGCGACGTGCGTATATCTGGCGATTTGGCGCCAAAGTTGAAGCACTTGAACATAAGCACGTGTTGGAGTATCAAAACCATGGAGATTAGAGACATGACGAACCTCGAATCTATGAGGTTTCATGAATTTCCGCGTTATTGTCTCCTCGTGATAGCAAATGTGCCGAGACTTGTTGAGTTGGACACTGATTGTATCAAAATCGGAACTGAAATCCTCTCGCGCGGCAATATAATTAGTGAGCAATTGGCGAAGGTTAAACATGTGGAGTTGGAATGTCATCTATCCAGGAATAGTATTAGCTTCCAGGAACTCGTTTGTTTCATCGACGCTTGTCCGTGCTTGCAGAGACTCGAGATTAAGGTAATTTATATATCCTAATATTTTATATATTATCCAAAAATTGATCAAGTACTGGACTCAATTATATTCATATATGTAATATTAATATATTGTTATAATTTTGCAGTTTACGGCAACAAGGTTTGACGAACGATATTATCGTATGAAGGTGGTGAACAAGGCCTCAAATGATGATCATCCGAAAACGGTGAAACTGTCGGGACTCGAAGCATCCCCGAACGAAGTGGAACTCGGGGTGCTCGTTGTTGGAAAAGCTAGGGCACTTGAAGAGTTTATCGTGGAAATTAGCCCTGACAAAAGCTACACAAGCCGAGAAAGGACGATCGCTCGTCTGCGGAAACAATTTCAACCAATACTACAAGATTCGATTAATTTTGTTGTAGTCTAGATATTTAATTTAATTCAAGACCATCGAATTTATATTATATACTGCTTGGTTGTGCTTGAGAATGCCCTGTTTGTGCCATCTTGGTGCAAACAAGTTTATATATATAACAGCAGTTCTTTTCGATAATTTTCCGACATGATTAGCATATTACGTAAATTACAATAAACACATTATCAACATAAATCAAATACATAAGACACATAATGGTACATTTATTAATTATAATAATCAAACAAACAAAACAAATGATTAATATACAAATCAAACAACAGCAACTGAAATTGAAGGTCTCTTAAAAATGCAAACTTTACAGAGAGGTGAATAGAGAGATGGAGTCAAGTACTTGTCTTCTCCGCCCATCATCGGCATCGGAACTCCTCTCTTCACCGGACTTACGTACCCCGGCCGGTACGTCTTCCCCAAAACACCCTCCACATCGTCGGACAAATCGAAAAACTTAAACTGCGTCTCGAGATGGGCAAACGCGTCACCGGTAGGCAATTGATAGTTGTGAACCCTATTTTCCTCTTCCCCGATTGGAGTCACGCGCACGTCGATCTCGACCAATCCCGTCACCGTTACCCTAACGGTGTTGACGTCGTCGGTCCTCTCGACGACGACTTCTCTCTCTGCGCCGTTTGCCCTCCACTCCGCCTCGCCGTCGGTCGGGACGGTGATCGATTCGCCATTCCACTTCACGATGAGCGCGTCGGCGTCGCTCCATTGTCGGACTTTTTTGGCTCCTAGGGTTAGTGTGTGCGCATCGAACATGATCGATAGAGCTTGCACCCACGTGTAATCGCGAGTTCGCCCCTGAGGCCTAGTACCGATGAGGTGCGCGTTGATTTGGAGATTCTCGTCGGAGACGATGGCGAAATCGCCGCCCTTAGCGCCATGGAAGTAGAACATGACGCCGTCGCCGCCGATGAAGCGTGGATCGTAACATAGGGCGCCATATCCGGTGCACTTGGGCCTTCTCCCTACATACGTGATTAATTACATGCATTACATAATTGCATTTAGGACCCTATATAATGTATAATTGCTAAAAAAGATCCAGTATCATTTTTTTGTAGCAAAAACACCCTTATAATGCATTTTTTATCAGACAACCCCCTAAAAAAGTGAGTTTTATGGGTAGTTTGCTGAGAAAAAAAATGGATCATAGGGGGGTTTTTTGCTGATAAAAAATAATATGGGGTTTTTTTTAACAATTAGAGAAAAAGATAGGGGTGTTAAATGTAATAAAAAAGTTGAGTTGGACTTACATTTGCAAGTGACTTCACACTTGCTACTGCAGTCAACAAAGCATCCCTTTTGCTTCTTGTTCTTCTTGGGCTTCCTTTGAGGGCATTGAGAAGGGCATGTGAGGGTCTTGAAATTGCATTTGCCTCTTGCTTTGCAGAAAGCTCTTTCTTCTTGCGTGTTTGGCAATGGCGCTAACGGTGTGTAGTTAGTCGAAGCCGCATCGTTCAGAGGCGGCTTCTGTTTACTTCCGCCTGCGTTGCCATTCCCGTTCCCGTTCCCATTCCCATTCCCATTCCCATTCCCATTCCCGTTACCGTTCCCATTCCCATTCCCGTTTCCGTTCCCATTACCGTTTCCGTTGCCATTCCCGTTACCGTTGCCATTCCCACTCCCGTTCCCATTGCCGTTGTTATTACCATTGTTGGAGCCGTTGCCGTTCCCGTTGTTGTTACCGTTGTTACTACCATTGCCGTTGCCATTGTTATTACCATTGTCGTCGCCTTGGGCAAGAATGGTGCCGACCTCCATCGAGACGAACAGAAGGACAAAAGCCATCAAGAAACACAGCTTCCTCGCCTCCATAACTTTTTTTTTTTATCAACTTCTCATGCAAATTCGAAGTTTTCTGTTTTTTTCTACTTTCAAATGATTTTTTGCTATGGACAAACAAACACGAAATGCAGGCATTTAAATAGGTACTCGGGTAAACGAAAGATCGCCGTGGAATTTGGCTAAAGTTATGTGAGTTAGCTTATTCCCATGGCGAAAACAGCTGTTAGAAGTTGGCTTTTTATTTGATTCTTCTCAGAATAATCAACACAACCTTGAACTAACATGTTCTGCTTGAGTCTCTCGTAAGTCAACTCCATTGACTATTCTAATAACTATCATGCTTTTGTTATCTAGCATTGTTGTTTATTTATGAAATTCCTTATTATAAATCTTTATTATTATTATTATTATTATTTCGGCCACCCCTGAGGTAATGTCAAATTACTAAAACCCCCTTATGTTTGGGTAATTACAGCCACACCTCAACTATGAATCTTCTTACACGTTCATCCTTGCGGTGTCAAATTTAGTAGAATCTTCTAAATTATGTGGAATATTCTCTAGTAGGTACTCGTTTTATCCCATTCGAACTCCACATTTTGAAACAAGATGATCATAAGGTGTATCACTTGGCTTATAAATATCAGATTGTGGTGCATTATAAACTGCATTTTTGCACAAAACGAGTACAACTATAGAAATTCCACTAACGTGGAAGATTCTATTGAATTTGACACCATGAGGGTAGACATGTAATTAGATTCATAGTTGAGGGAATGATTGTAATTACCCAAACGGAAGAGGTTTCTTCATAATTTGTTCTCACCTCAGGGGGGTTGACTGTAATTTACCCTTACTATTATCAGTTCCAACCTGGAAATTTTGGTTATGACTTATGATGAAGGGTCTTTAATCCCTTTCTCAAGGCAGAAGCTATTTCAGACTTAAAAAATATGCACAAGTACACCTTTGAGATTTGCAGAAGGCTTACTTTCTACACTATCCAAAAGTCAGAGCAACAATTTTAATTTTTATTATTAAAAAAAAAAACAATATACAAATTTACATAGGAAGTTTCTTTGTCATGCACATTGAGTAGAAAGGACCCTTTCAAGCCGGTGTTGATACAAAATTGCCAACGCGATTAACCTGCTTTTCTAGCCAAAACGCGTCCCGAAATTTTGTAAAGACACGTTTTTTAGGTGTAATAATACAACAATTCAATCAACGGACAGATCCATGTGTAATATAATAATAATAATAATTATGAAGTGATGAACAAATTCTGCACAACATGTGTTATCTGATATAGTTTGACAGTAATTTGTAATAACTGTGACTTCTTAGTCAGCATCGAGGATTCGAACAACTATAATCAACATTTTATAAAACTATGTAGTATGTACAGCGGAGGTGTACAATTTTTTTAAGAAATGCTAAATAATTTTTGGTTCGTTAAATTATCGGGAGATCGTACTTGGGTTTCTTGGAGAGAATCAGATCCTCAGAAGGCAATAATGAGGTGCTGGTCGATGCTTCTTGGCTGGTCTCGTTCACCATCTTCAAGAAATAACTGTGCCTGTATAGTAATATTGGAGATAGTTTAGGGACTAAGTAATAAATAAGAAAAAGTTTAGTACACAAAGAACACGAGACAGACCATCGGGTGTCTGCAGTAAGCTCCGGGTGAAAAGCAGTTGCTAGCAAGTTCCCTTGCTTTACAGCAACTATCACTTTCTTTTCAGATCCAGCATTTTCCTGAAGGGTAATTTAGTAATTTATGATTTCATTGAAAGTTTAGGGAAGTTCGACTTTTGAAAAATTCAAATTGCTGAAAGTACCATATGAATTTTTTTTTTATCAACATTAATCACTTATTTCGAAATTCGAGTTTCATTCATATAGGTCTCTGCATGCATATGACGATTTTTCTCACTTATTAATATTAATCAATTTCAAATGTGAGTAGGTTTATCATAAGATGAAAGACGAACCCACCGAAACATAAACAAATTTCATTTAGGATAAATAAATAAATAGGTATAACTCTCTACCTCTAGACTTTCAGGGGCAGAATCAGATTTAGCACTTGTGTGAGATGGAGCAGAAATTTCTGCCAACACTTGTACTTCCGGGCCCACTTCAAGAATTCCGGGGGCCCGAATAAACACACCACGGAAACTCGGAGGACCACCTTCTTTTGCCACAATTTCCGGAACAGAAATCTCAGCCTCAAAGCTTTGAATCTGATCCAGTAATATCCATTTTCAGATTAAGTGTTATTAAAAGTGTTAATCGGAAAAAATCAAGAATTAATGAGCATTTGTGATATTATATCAGTATGTCATCCGATCTTCGACCTTACAAAAAATTGTAAATAAAATTAGTGAACTCAAGAAAAAAGTTACTCGTACGGTACCTGACTGCCAAAGAAGTTTCGATGAACGGTACAATTAAGGCCGCCGATAAGTTCCTGCCCGCCAAGTTTCTGCCCTGAAACAAGTATAATAAATTTTAAAACCAAATTACTCGACACACATAATCCTTAAAAGTTATATAGAACGTGATAAAGCGTGACGTAATAATTGTAAAAATAAATACCTACCAATTGCTTTGTCAGCTAAAAAAATAAGGCCTGCACATGTTCCCCAAACCGGATTTCCCATTTTCACAAAATCCCGTAATGCCGGAAACTGCAGTTATAACAAAAAATCAGCACAAAGAGAAGAGAAAATCAGTGAATTCAGTATGTCATGAATCTCTTCAGAGTAAAAACCATTGACAACTTATTATGCAACACATTGAATCAACTTCCTCGTGTTTCATAAGAAACACATAACCTTAAAAATTCAAGCTTCTTAGAGTTGAAGATTCCATTGATAGGATTGCCATTGAATTCGAAAGAATCGCCAAAAAAAAATTGATTTTTTTAAGGATTCTCTTTTCGGACAGAGTGATTTTCGTCTTAAACGTTAAAGATTGTTCGACTGGCTCTTACTGAATTCTTAGGACTCGTTCGTATTCATTCGTAAACATGACAATAGATGTCATCGTAAATCAGGTGAGAATTTTTTAATTTATTTCCACACTATTTCAAAAATCGAACCGATGTTCGTTTCGTTTGTACCGATTTTTATTCACAAATAGGGCATTTTAATTTACCTTTTCCGACGACAGAACTACCCGAACTTATAAAATCACTATGAATTAAGATGAATCAATCTAACGGCTTTAGTTAATTTGACATGCCAATGTGTTTCAAATATGTTAAAAATTCCCTTTTTTTTCTATAAATATGTGTAAAATAGAACCCTAGAAAGCTCTACAGAAAGAAAAAAAACACATACGAGATTATGATATTCGGCAAGCTTAGCCATGGTGGTGCTCTCCCCACCGGGAATAATAAGCGCCGTCACGCTCTGCAGCTGCTCCGGCTTCCTTATCTCCACCCCCTTCACCCCCACCCTTTTCAACGCTGCAGCACCAATTCACACACACACAAACAAGCTCACCCATTAATCGATTACATGCAAAAAGTGATTCAATTATAAATATATATATATATATAAATAATTGAAGGTATGGGGGTAGTGGAGTATAGATTGAATGCCTGCAATGTGTTCGTTGAAAGAGCCCTGTAAAGCAAGAACACCCACCGCCATTGTTGCCGGCCGCTAAATTAGGGTACAACCCGCCAAAGCGCAAAGTACCACTCCGGGAGGGGAAGTGAGAATCAGAGAATCGTGTCAGACTCTGCTTCACGTAATTGGAATGATTGGGATAATAAAATGGGAGCCAAATTTTTGCCCTTTTTAATTCCAGGTGCGCCGCCATGAACGAACGGCTGGCTTACAAAATGGACTCAAGCCCAATTAACCTTTTTTATTTATTGGGCTTTAGTCCCTTTTTCAATTTGGGCCGATTTATTATTTTATTATATATTTTTTTTATATTGTATATATTAATCGACTGTTTTATATATGTTATACTCGGTGAAATACATGTGATATTTTTATTAGACTTAATTTATAAAAAAAAGACTAAAATTGTGTTCGTCTCATATCAACACAAAAAATGTATAAAGATAAAGCAAACGACGAACTTAAACATTATAAGATCTCGTTAACATAACAAATGTATCTCATAATATTAGTATACGCATCTGCGAATCGTACTATGTTTCTATCGCACTACGAACGCTACTATCCAGAAATGACTAACAGACGATGAACAACAAAACGGCCAAAAGAACAAAGATTGTTTCATTCTCGACTAAGATCACCATCAAAATGATCGATAACCAGCAACGAAACATCATCGCATGCATGAACTTGTATTCAATTCACATAAAATTCGAATTACTCAAACGAATCGCACCGTGCGTTCCTATTTACGCACCACAAACAGCCAAATCGAACCAAAAGCTCACAAAAATCATGAATTGATCAATACCCAACAACAAACCACATAGCAGAACAAAACAATTTTCTATACTAAAAACGTAAATGTCATGTGTATTAGATTTCTTTACTACTATCGTCTTTAATACTAAAATGGTATTTCTATAACTTTATCTCATATAGATCTAGGTTAAACCGCTCAGAGAACTTTTAGTAAATAGTATAAACCCGTGTATCCTTATTAGCTATAGAAAATATTATTCAGGGAGCAACAAACAATTTCCACTATAAATTTCATGTAAAACAATATACCTTATTGTAGTATATTATCCGAATATAGCATCTACAATAAATATCCAAATTCAAGAAAAAAAAAGGCACTGAAAAGGAAAGAAAACCGTTTTCCTATTCAGGATTTAAAATTTCCAACTACCAAACACTCCCCAAACTAATTACCAATTTGGATGTCAAAAAAGGAAGACCTGGAAACTGACCACCACGCGCCAACCCCCACCACGCGCCAACCCCCAAATCTAACAAACATCCATCCAAAAAAAACCCCTTTCTTCTTCTTCTTCTTCTGCCCTACCTGAATTTTCAATTCCAATTACATCCTGAACCAACCAGTCCAATTTTTCATTATTTTTATCATAGTATATATATACAGACAAAATTATATTTCTTTTATTGAATTTTCAGCATATTCTTCTCTCACATCGATTTTATTTTCGCCATCCTAAATTTCCTCCTCCGTACATCTCTCTCCCCCGCCTTTGCGTGCGCGTCTCTCCGACGAAGAACCGTTGGGCTGTAATGAAATCTGAACCCAATTGCTTTTATTTTTTCATTTCGTGATTGCCTGTTTGTTTATTTTGTTCAATTTTGTTTTTTGCGGGGTCGATTAGAATTGGATTGTTTGTTGATTTTACAGCTAGGGCTACGGCTAGGGCTTTTTTTGTTTGCTTCATCGTTTTGTCGAACACGTCATTGCGAAAGGTAATTCGTTTTTGGGTTTATGTTTGGCTTCGTTTTTTTTTTGTTTTTTTTATGTATAATTTTCTGGATGTTCTCGATGCGCAAAGCTTTTGTCTTTTCCTGCAATTAACCTAAATCCAGAATGGATCTGCTTGCATTATTAAAATTAGTATTGCCGTCTTGATTAAAAAAACAACACTTATAATTTTTTTTTATCTCTGTTGTTTTCTGTTCTATAAATAAATAAATAGGGCAATAGTTTGAGGCGTTGTTGGCTTAGCGAGGCAGGAAAATGAGGGCTTAGCCTGCTCTCATTTCTTATAACAATAATTGAAGTGGGGCCTTCTTTGCTATGTTGGCTTTGAATCGCAATGGAATCAGTATGGTCAACTGTTTCTTTCATTTTGCTGAATGGCATCCTCTGGAAGAGAGTAGTTGATCGAAATTCCGAGCCCACTTCAGTTTTTCCATTAGACAAAGAGAAAAGGTTATTTCTTTACTTCAATTAGGAATCTTGAAATTAAAGCTTCTGGAATTTGTGTTAGACTTGATAAATATTACGTTTTTTTACGATTTCTCTGTCTTCAGGTTCTGCAGTCAGGCTTGTTAGTTTATTGTGTGTTCTAAATTATTGGGGGACAGTTTTTGGCATTGCAAAGTATACACTAAGAGGAATTCGATTGAGGAAAGTGGCAGAGATGGGCTGCTGTTGGTGCTTCGGTTTCTCGTTTGCAAGAAAGCCGAAGAAGGTGATGAGATCCAGTAGGGGGATGAGTAATAATCCTTCACAGGAGTTCCTGTTGGATGATGACGTGGAAGATGATGATGGCGATGATTATTACAATGGTGACATGTCTGATACTGGAAATGGCGATGAATATGATTTTAAAAGCCCTACAAAACGTTCGGAAGAGATTCTCATGTACCGACTGCAGCATGGATTGATATGCAGGGAGTCTCCTGTTAAGGAAACCTACACTGTGATACGCTCAGAGGTGATTTGCAGGAAAAAGTGTTCGTTCTTTGCTTTCATCTCAATCGCTTACGCATTAGGACCTAGTTCATATGTATGAACAATATTTAACTCAATTAATAACTTGGTTGCTATTTGTGAGATTAGAGAGCTTCGTTACTTAAGAAGCTGGGTCCATAAAGCAATATACCCCCTCCCCTTCAAGTATAAGACACAACAGAAAAACTCAAAAATAAAAACTTAAGGGAAAAGAAAAGGACATGGACTTTACTGTAAAAAAATAATGATGCATTGGAATTTGTGATCGTTTAGGTTAGTAAGCTATCCATTCTTGTGGTGTTTACAATGTGTCTCAGAAATTGCATTTAATTGTGGTTTTCTTGTTCTCAATATTTTGCTACACAAAAAAATCGATTGTAATATGTGTGTAGCACTTTTTAGTTGGGTTTAAAACAATCTCTGTGCATGTGGATTGTTGAAGCGTAAGGCAAATCTCTCTGATGATAGAAATATGTTGCTCGTGTGATATTTGTGTTTTGAGAGATTGCGCAATGAAAATATTAGTAATTCATTCAATACCCATTATTGATGTTCCAGGATGAAGATGGGAACAAAACCGTTAATGAATACGTACGAGAACACAAGATTGGTGCTGGCAGCTATGGGAAAGTGGTGAGCACATTTCTAAAATATTACATTTTCTGGATCTGTTTTATGCTATCTAACATGTAAATGACG